AAAGCAACGACTGGAAAACACGCGAGATCGACGATCGACGGCTTCGGATCTACCACCGAGTGTAGCGGTAGCAAAGAGGATAACGCTAATTAACGGGATGCCGGAGCGAGAGTTATTTTTGACCCGAAAAGCTTTTCTACGCCGTTCGAGCGTAACCTACCGTTCGTCTTACGTCTAATGAATTTTTCATCGGGATGAAATGCAAAGTGGCTCGTAAAGTATACAACACGTTCGTTATACACTCGTTCGTATAAGTATCAAAGGGCCCCCCTTTGAACGCCTCCCCACTTTCCGCGTGTACTCGGCCCTTGGTTACAAAGGGGATCGTTCATCGCTTCCAGAAGTCACGAAAGAGAAACGTCTCTCCAGACAACGCAGCGGGAAGGTAGACGATTTTATTTCGCTGTAAACAAGAACAGTCATCCTCGCTACCAGTTGTTCGCGCTGTCGCCTTCCATGAAAATTCAGCCTTAAGCTGTCTCTGAGCTTTACTAGATCTTTCTTCTATTTTCTTCTCGTCTAAATTGTGCTCTTTTCTCACCTAAACGCCAGATATGACCAGAGTCAAACCGGAGATCAGTCATCTTCGCTACCAGTTGGTTGCGATGTCGCCTTCCATGGAAAATCATCCTTAAGCTGTCTCGGGGCTATACTAGATCTTTCTTCTTTTTTCTTTTCGTCTAAATTACGCTCTTTTTTCATCTATACACCAGATATGACCAGAGTCGAACCGAAGAACAGTCATCCTCGTTACCAGTTGGTCGTGTTGTCGCCTTCTATGAAAATTCAGCCTTAAGCTGTCTCTAGTTTTTATTCGATCTTTCTTCTATTTTCTTCCCGTCTAAATTACGCTCTTTTCTCATCTAAACATCAGATATGGCCACAGTCGAAACGAAGAACAGTAATCCTCGCTACCAGTTGTTCATGACGTCGCCTTCCATGGAAATTCAGCCTTAAGCTGTCTCTGGGCTTTATTCGATCTTTCTTTTTTCTTTTCGTCTAAATTGCGCTCTTTTCTCACCTATACGCCAGATATGACCAGAGTCGAACCGAATTATGTACCGAAGCTTCTTCTCGTTTCTTCTCGTTACCGTTTCAACGTGATCATCGTTCTCGGGGTCCAACCTCTCACGTATCGCTACTCTTCTTTAAACTCCCCAATTCGTTCCGTCTCTCACGGAGTTTTTACAATTTTCAGTTTTTTACCCGATCCCGCGACTGCTCCGCGTTCTCCGGTTCGTTACGTATTGGTTAACGGGTACAATGTCGATCGCGATCGTGATCGCGAGAAGAAAGGCAGCGGGGAACGAAAACCGCGAGAAAAAATGGCCGACGCTTGGGCGCTGGATCAGCGTAAAAGTTTCAGCATCCTTGATCCGCGGTTCCAATTAATTCAAGTGACTCGCTGCTACTTCGCGCGAGTTCTTCCCCGACTCGTGAGCCGCGATAAAAATCGCGGACCCCGACAGATCCACCGACCGATCTTGGCGCTCTCGGATCGGTTCCTCGCGCCAACGTCGAGCTTCTCGGTGTGATGCAGCTTCCAAGGAGGAGGAACTTCCGCGAGAGCGCTGATAATCGAACGCATCGGAACACCGGTCACGCGCTCCTTTTTCTCCGTTATTTATCCAACGCGACCGGATCCGTCCGACCTGGGACCACCGATTCCACTGCGCTATAAATATTCGATCCCTTCGAAGTTCGTAAATCAACGCTCGCAGCTACGTTCAGAGACGTGACTGACGGTCTTCCTGTAAAGATCCTCTTCCTTTTTTCGTCTCAACGTCGCGACTCGAGAGGAACAAACAGGAACCGATTTTTCCTCCATGAGCTTCCGCGGTTCTGCGCCATTTTGGGATGAAATTTCCAAGAATTTTCGAAAATACGCATGTGATTCGTAAGATTTTCTGTTAACACTGTGAGTGGTTGATTATTACTTTATTTCTTACGCGATTTACGTCAAAAGCTCGGAAATTGGTAGCCGTGATCGAACGTCGTTGACGTTACTCGTGCGTTCGCGTTGGAACAAAAAGGAACCGATTTTTCTAGATAGATTTCCGCAGTTCTGCGCCATTTTGGGATAAAGTTCGCAAGAATCTTCGAAAATACGGATGTAATTCGCAAGATCCTTTATTAACGCAGTGACTGCTTGATTATTACTTTATTTCTCGCGCGATTTAGGCCGAAAACTCGGAAATCGGTATCCATTATCGACCATCGTTGACGTTATTCGTGCGTTCGCGTTCGAAAAGACGGTGAGAAACAGGAATCGCGGTGTTCGTCGAATAGACAGCAAGAAATCGGCTCCCAGGAGAAGATACATGCTCGATAGGTACAGCAATAACATAACTGACAGTTTTCCTGTAAAGATCCTGTTCCTCCTTTCGTCTCAATATCGCGGCTCAAGAGGAACAAACAGGAACCGATTTTTCTAGACGAGTTTCCGCGGTTTCGCGCCATTTGGGGATAAAATTCGCAAGATCTTTTATCAACGCTGTGTCTAGTTGATTATTACTTTATTTCTCGCGCGATTTAGGCCCAAAACTCGGAAATCGGTATCCATTATCGACCATCGTTGACGTTATTCATGCGTTCGCGTTCGGAAAGACGGCAGGAAACAAGAATCGAGGTGTTCGTCGAATAGACAGCAAGAAATCGGTTCCCAGGAGAAGATACATGCTCGATAGGTGCAGCAATAACATAACTGACAGTTTTCCTATAAAGATCCTGTTCCTTCTTTCGTCTCAATATCGCGACTCGAAGGGAACACATAGGAACCGATTTTTCTAGATAAACTTCCAACGTTCCATGCAATTTTGGGATAAAATTCGCAAGATCCTTTGTCAACGCTGCGACTGGTTGATTATTGCTTTATTATACTTCATTTTTACACCGAAAGCTTGGAAATCGGCAGCCGCGATCGAACGTCGTTGACGTTACTCGTATGTTCGCGCTGGAAACAGGAATCGTAGTGTTCGTCGAACGGATAACAAGAAATCGGCTCTCAGGCGAAGATATATGCTCGATAGTATCAGCAACGTTCTGAGACGCGATTGACGGTCTTTCTCTAAAAATCCTGTTCCTTCTTTCGTCTCAATATCGCGGCTCAAGAGGAACAAACAGGAACCGATTTTTCTAGATGAGTTTCCGCGGTTCCGCGCCATTTTGGGATAAAATTCGCAAGATCTTTTATCAACGCTGTGTCTAGTTGATTATTACTTTATTTCTCGCGCGATTTAGGCCGAAAACTCGGAAATCGGTATCCATTATCGACCATCGTTGACGTTATTCGTGCGTTCGCGTTCGAAAAGACGGCAGGAAACAAGAATCGAGGTGTTCGTCGAATAGACAGCAAGAAATCGGCTTCTAGGCAAAGATATATGCTCGATAGGAACACGGTGGACCGCGCAACGAATCGTGATAGCGGCGTGTTTCGTTGGCGGAAAGGTTCCCGATCGAGCGGGAGATTTTTGCTCGGAAGCTCGATCGAGCGAAATAACGTAGCTGTCCGGGAAAATGTCAAGGCCTCCTTTCCATTCGTCGCGAAATGCTTTTTCTCTCGACTCTACACCGCCGCGCCGTTAACGTCTAATCGTAAAAAGCGGGGAAAAAATCGGACGACAAATGTCGCGGCGATTGTCTGCTAATGCATCGATCGTAAATCTCTCGATTTCGCTAGCTGCGTCGACGAGCTGGTACCAGTTGTGACACGGCTGTTTATTTAATTATGCAAACGAGAAATAGTTCGTCGCGATACCGGTACACGCTTCTGCTCGAAGAAAACGGAAAGCTCCGTCACTTTCCTAACAGATTTTCGATCGCGTTTCCATCGATGAAACGAGATCGCGAATTCTTATTCTCATCACGGAATTCTCTCTTACAACGAGAAATTCGAGTTTCATCTAATCAACTCGCGGCTATTTTTGACTCGATTGACAGATTTTTGGAGGCACGTTCCAAATTCCAAATTTCAAAATGACGCACAGTGATGAGGGATACTTAATGGATTAACATATTGCGTATGTTGCATAGAAAACTCTAAGACCACGTCAGGGACCACGTGTTTTGACAAGACAGTGCGTTGACACCTAAGCGTTGACTCTGTAACAGATGGCGCGCGGAACACGAGAAAACTCAAGAGCGGTACGCAATGCGTTAACTCTTTGGGGCACGCTGGGATTAAAAGTGTCCCACCTTTTTGATGCACCGTGATGCATGATGGGACATTTTTAATCCCACCACGAAATATTGCAATAGCTGCACGCGCATAAGTTTATATTTCGTCTTATTTAAGTAAAGCAGTTGGTAATACCTTCGACAAATATCATAAATATATTCGCTCGAATGTTGATAATATTCAACGTGCTAGTACAGGTTCATCAGTTGTTACAAGTGTAAAGTTTATCGCGACAATCTTTTTCCTGGTTTTATGCGAAAAATCGTAAAAGTAAGTTCTATACCAATTTTGTTTCATTTAAAACGCAATAAAGTTTCTACGCAACGTGGGTATATTTTATGTTCCGAAATCCTGTGCCGCAGAGAGATAAAATTCCAAATTTCAATATGATGCACAGCGATGACGGATACCGATTCGACTAAGTACGCCATAGAAATGTTTAAGACATGCGTCAGGGACCGCGCGCTTTGACAAGACAGTTGATATCTGAGGTCCGCAACAGATGGCGCGCGAAACGCAGGAAAACTCGCGGTACGCAATGCGTTGGGAAATAAATAAACGAAAGAATAAGGAATAAGTACGATTTTCACGGAAGAAGGCAAAGCACTCCCGATAGCTGGATACGCGCTAATACGAAAATATCCCGATGGAAACAATTAGAGAATGCATTATTCACGCGTCCCGATTATCCAATAAGGCATCCAGCAGACGATATTGGAGGTTAGGTTGAACGCTCGAAACGCCACGGTCCCCCGATTGTTCGAAGCGCGCGTAAATGCGAGTTGGCCGCATCGGACACGGGTAAACTACGAATGTTAAGTACCTGAAGAAATCCTCTCTGCAGAACAGCTTCGCTTCCCTGGAGAAACACTTGTCCTGCAACGTGGTTCTGCAATCGAAGCAGCGGACACACTCGACGTGCCATGCTCGGTCCAAAACATTCAGCAGGTACTGATCCATAATTGGTTTCTCGCATCCTGCACATGACAGGAGCATCGCCAGACCACGTCTCCCTGCTTCGAAAAGAAAGAGAGCATCTGTGAATGCAGAGGATTTAACGTAGGATTTGCGTTCACGAACAGCGGATTTTTAATAATTCGCTCGCGCACGGTCTATCGTCGCACGCGTGGGTTCATTTTCTCGCGAATTTATGTCGTCGACAGAACGGCAAGGGGTTGGAAAATATTCGTACCGACGAAAACGTCGGGCAGAGAAGTTGATGGAACGCGCGCGGCCGCGACTCGACGAGGCGTTTTAATTTCGCACACGTTCGAACGCGCGCGTCATCGTGCGAAAAACGAAACGCGGAAAACGAGCAAATTTCTGCGACACCCTGTTTCGAACCTATATACATCGCACATGAAGGTATTTCGGATCGCCCTAGTTTCACTGTCGCGAAACGCCGCTAAGCGAGGAAACGGAGAATTTCAAAAGTCAAACACGTTCCTCCTCTAACGCTAAAAAGGTGAATTTTCAACCGGAAAGTCTGTTACGATCGGAGGAATCCGCGAAGATGGTCGCAGAATGCGAAACACACGCGATATCGGCAGAATTATTCTCGATCTACCGATTAAATCGCGCGTGTGTTTCGAATAACCCTATTATCACTGTTGCCCAGCGCCGCGAAGCGAGAAAACGGAGAAGTTCGAAACTCAAACGCGTTCTTCCTCTCACGAAGAAAAATTCGTGCGAATTTTCGATCGGAAACGCAGTTATGATCGGCGGAACCCGCGAAGATGACTATGAAATGCGAAAAGCACGCAGTATCGGGAAAAATATTCTCCATCTAACGATTAGGTCGCGCGTATGTTTCGAATAACCCTAGTATCACTGTTGCCCAGCGCCGCGAAGCGAGAAAACGGAGAACTTCGAAACTCAAACGCGTTCTTCCTCTCACGAAGAAAAATTCGTGCGAATTTTCGATCGGAAACGCAGTTATGATCGGAGGAACCCGCGAAGATGACTATGAAATGCGAAAAGCACGCAGTATCGGGAAAAATATTCTCCATCTAACGATTAGGTCGCGCGTATGTTTCGAATAACCCTAGTATCACTGTTGCCCAGCGCCGCGAAGCGAGAAAACGGAGAACTTCGAAACTCAAACGCGTTCTTCCTCTCACGAGGAAAAATTCGTGCGAATTTTCGATCGGAAACGCAGTTATGATCGGAGGAACCCGCGAAGATGACTATGAAATGCGAAAAGCACGCAGTATCGGGAAAAATATTCTCCATCTAACGATTAGGTCGCGCGTATGTTTCGAATAACCCTAGTATCACTGTTGCCCAGCGCCGCGAAGCGAGAAAACGGAGAACTTCGAAACTCAAACGCGTTCTTCCTCTCACGAAGAAAAATTCGTGCGAATTTTCGATCGGAAACGCAGTTATGATCGGAGGAACCCGCGAAGATGACTATGAAATGCGAAAAGCACGCAGTATCGGGAAAAATATTCTCCATCTAACGATTAGGTCGCGCGTATGTTTCGAATAACCCTAGTATCACTGTTGCCCAGCGCCGCGAAGCGAGAAAACGGAGAAGTTCGAAACTCAAACGCGTTCTTCCTCTCACGAGGAAAAATTCGTGCGAATTTTCGATCGGAAACGCAGTTATGATCGGAGGAACCCGCGAAGATGACTATGAAATGCGAAAAGCACGCAGTATCGGGAAAAATATTCTCCATCTAACGATTAGGTCGCGCGTATGTTTCGAATAACCCTAGTATCACTGTTGCCCAGCGCCGCGAAGCGAGAAAACGGAGAAGTTCGAAACTCAAACGCGTTCTTCCTCTCACGGGAAAAAATTCGTGCGAATTTTCGAATTTTCGAATTTTCGACCGGAAACGCGGTTACGATCGGAGGAACTCGCGAAGATGGTGGCAGAATTCGAAACGCGCGCGGTATCGGGAATAAATATTGTGGATCTAGCGATTAGATCGCGCGCCGAAAGAAAATCGGCCGCACTTGCCATAGTTGGCGCACGTGCATAACGAACCGCGCATTGTACGGGGACTTTTTATAATTCGAACGCTTTGATTAGCGTGCAGCCTACCGAACTATACCGGACACGGCCGAGGCGTGAAGGTAAAAGTGCAGCACAATGCGATATCCTCGTTGTTAATCTCGAAGGAGCAGAGTCTGCTATCGGCCTGGAATTAACGGGGCTCCCTGTTCCGGCGAATAAAAATGAAACACGCCTCGCGGGATGTTCGGTATCGACGCGGATAAAAATACGGCGGTTGCAGCGGGACAAAAACAAGCTCGTAGTGTACAACTTTGTTACAATGTCCGTAACGAATTCCCTGCCTGGCAAAAGAATAAAAATCGCTTTAAGGCTAAATCGCGCGGTTGGTTTGACCGTACGCGACGCTTCTATCCCCGCGAGGAGCAACGTAATCTATTATGTACCATCAAATTTAACGATTGCGCCTGTATCTTTATAGTATCGTAATTGTCAATAGCCATCGGACCAGTGTATCCTCCGTCGAACCAGTCGCCCGGCGATTACGATTTCGTTGTTAATTAACATTCGCCAACAAGATTGCCCTCTATTACGTTTTCTTCGCCTCCTCCCCCCCGTTCAACCGTCCTCCTCTGTCCTCCTCTATTTCTATCACAGCGCAGCACCCTCTCTCTCGCGCCGCCGACCTCTGACTTCTTTTTTCGCCATTGCTGAACCCTCTAGGGTTCACTCCTCTCTTTTTTTCGCGGTTTCCGCCAATGGGCGGAGTTCCTCCCTGCTGGCAGGGTTGTCAACCTAGCAACCCTTCTCCCACCCCTTAAGGTCTGACCTTGCGCATCTCATCTCCCTCCGTTTTGCGGGAGGGCGAGAAGAAAAAGGAGAAACGCGACTCGACTCGACCCGACCCGACCACCCCGCGGTTACCTCGAGATTTAAATCGTTCCACACGAAATCGACTTACGAGTAATTCCTACGGCAAAATTGAGTTCCCACGGAATATTTTCTAGCCCCACGCGCTGGGATAGCCCTCGGAATCACTCGCTTCCATCCCGAGATAAACGCACGCTCTTACTCGTCTATGATTCCTAACTCTCGTCTCGAAAAATTACTAACCACGGATTGAAAATAAAATCGAAGTTGTTTCGGGGTAAAGACACGAGAGAGAGAGAGAGACAGGATGATGGCAGAGATCGAGAGAGATAGGCGACGTCTAGGAGATACATCCGCAGACACGGTTGACCTTCCGTTCGTTGAATCAGATATCGCGAGGAGAGATTTCACGGCCGTGGCGCGTGGAAAAGAAGCGGAGAACGCGTTTCCGTGAATCGGCCAAACCAGATTAGGATTAAGCGTACGTGAGACGAAAGCCTGAGCGACCAAAACGGGCTTTCATTAATCCGATTCTTTTCTATCAACCGTGCGACGCGTGCCACGTTTCGCCGGCATCGCTTTATCGGGCCCCGATCGACGCTCGAAAATTCTCTACTCTCGTACAAGGTATCTTAATTTTCTCTCGATCGCGCGTCCAAACGTAAAAATACTGCCGTGTGTTCCACGTCAAGGTGTAGATTCCCGGACGAAACCTAGCCGATCCCAGAATTTTAATCGTACCCCCTGTCATTGTACCCCCTAGTGAAAATTGATGCACGCAACTGTGATCGGGACGAGCAGCAGAAGAAGAAGGAAAGAAAACGACGTAAGTGCCGGGCAAAATTATAAAGGAGCAGCGAGTGGGCAATTAATCGGGCCGACGATTAACATAAAATGTTACGTAAAGCTCACGGTGAATTAGTAATCGATACGATTGCGGTGCTACGCAAATCCGCCAAGTCGAATGTGATCGGGTACCTTCTCTGTCAATATTTTTCTTCCTGCCACCCTCGAGAATATGGTAATGCGAGCTTTTAAACCCTTCCGCGGTTTAAGTTTCCGCGCTATCTACAGGGAAGACCCCGAAGAATGAGAACAAAGAGCGTGTAACGAATGCATAACGAAACAGCAGAGGAAATGGGAGAGAAGCAGAATCTCAGGTGAGAGCGAGCTAATTAACGGGCTAATTGGCCAACTAATCGGCCAATTAATAGACGAACTTATCGACGAGGAAGAAAGAAAGCATTTCGACGATGACCGACAGTTATCGGCAATTTTTCATCTTCGTTCGATAACGCTGCGTTGACGTTAGGCTGGATAAAATGTGACGAGTATAAATACCGCTTTCACGACGTGCATACTTTTCCGTCGCTGCAGTTCGATATCTGCATCGGTCACTGCAGATCGATCGGTCCTCCGTGACGATACGTTGGCGCGTTTTTAAACGACGTTACACCTCGATTTTCCTATTTCGTTCTTATTAAATCGTGTCTAAACGTGGAACCATCGGTTTCTTTCTTAATCTCTGTGAATTTTTGCTCGGTGAGACCAAGGGAAAATCTGCCGGAGGATCGGCCGCGCGCGCCGAGATCCAGCGCGCATTTGCATCGGGAAGATTAGGATTTCCTCGAATCGGTGGTTCGTTACGCACAATGACGCGTGTTTCGACGGATGTTCAACCCTGTCCGAGGCAAATTTATCCTCGTTAGATCCGAACCGCGGGACAATCCATCACCGCGGATAAAAAACGCGCATTCCTATGACATCCAAATTACGGTACGATCAATCACGATAAGCGAACGAACGGCGTTTCTACTGTCTACGGGAAAAAAAACCGAAGAAAAATATTACAGGGGAGGAACGGTTCCTGCCGGCTCGAATCGCGAGGAACCCGAGAGGAAAACCCTTCGACCTTCCGCGGTCCGAATACGAAGCCAACCTGGCGCCGGCGCTTAGGAGGTGTTAAACCAACCCACCGATTCCCTTCCTGTTTATAATCGAAATATTTCCTCGACCGGCGGACGCAAAAACGCCGATTACCGCCGGGAAAACACGGGGCCCATTTCCAGGGGACTAATAACCGCGAGAATCGGTAGAATCGAACGGTTTAAACGTAGACCGGAATTATTCTTGGCTGGCGCGTTGCTACGAAACGAGTTAAAATCCGACATTAAAAACGCGAGCCTTATCGAGTAAGCGTGTTATTTACGTTGGCCGCTTCGCGCCAGTCTAACCGGCTCGAAAGAGCCGTGGAGCGTGAAACGTTTCGTTGCTAAGCATCGATCGTTTTTGGTTCGAAAAGGGTGGACTTTGTCGCAGAAATTTGTTATATATTCGTAAATCGAGGATAGAGCGTAACGCGCGAGATAAATAGAAGAGGAGTGATCTACTTACCTATGTTACAGGCTTGGGTGACGGGCAGGGGTGCGCAGCAGGGCCCGCTGAGGGTCGCGACCCTTATCCGGGGGGATCCACGGGCCCGTATCGGCCGAACGGTCCCGAGGGCCCCAGTGCACCCACTTTTACTGCGGTGTTATCCCAACGGCCGTTAAATCGCACTTCTCACACTTCCCCCCTTGGCTGCCAGTTTTTTCGCCAGCACACACTCGATATTTTGACAATTCGCTCCTCTTTTTCTCCGCTTTTTCGCCGCTTTTTCTCCGCTCTCTCTCTCTCTCTCTCTCTCTCTTTCTTTCTCTCTCTCCGCGTTTTCTCCTCTATCTGTGTGCCACGAGTTTCCTCGCCCGAGCCTCCGCCTTGCCCCCGTTTGCCTGTAACCACGTTTCCGTTGACACTCCGGTTCTTGTCAACCACGATTACCCCGTCGCGGTACCTCTGGTCGTGGTACCCCTCGTCGTGGTATCTCTTGGCGGTTCGCAGTTCGTCGTTTCTATGTTTGTATGCGATGAGTTTTGGGCAGACGGGGAGTTTTATCGGGAAGATGTCGCGATGGTATATATTTCCCGATTTCGTTTCGTCACGATTGTCTCTTTCACCCTTCGCGTATCTCAGCTGACCAGCCGGTACCGCCGGCACATCGCGAACCGTCGTCCACGCGTTAAGATCGTTCTCCTTCGGATCTAGGCACTCCGCGATGGATCATGGCGCCGATGGGACCGGTATCGCGACAGATCTCTCAGACGCGACGTGCGCGTCCTCGCGACGGGCCGCATCAAGAGCTCCCGTCCGTCTTTTACCTTCACGACGGAATCTCGTTGCCTACTTTTCGCAGCAACACGCAACCGCGGCGTGCGCCAATTTCTCTCGACTATTTTTCCAAGATCCGCACTGTGTTTTCTTTCTTTCTTTCTTTCTTTCTTTCTTTTCGTTTTTCTCTCTTTTTCTTTTTCGCTTTTCCCTCTTTGCGTTCTTCACGATACCCGATCGAGGCGAATCGCGGCGGTGGATAGAACTCGAAACGGCGATGCGGGCCGAGGAGAACGCGAACGAATGGGAGAAACGAAACCGGGCAAACGGGATGCGCTTTAACGAGCAACGCGAAACGTGAAACGCAACGATCCCGAGCACGCTCGCCTCGAGTTCGCCAGCCAACTGGCTGCACCTGTGACAGCCGCGAGGGCCCCCCTCTACTTGGACCAGACGTCGCGCGCCTCGCTGGAACGGGCTACGCCCATTGGACACGACCACGGCGCGGGACCTTCCGCGCTCCGTTCCGATTGGCTCGCTAGGCCCCGCTCGGGCGTAGCCAACCCCGTGCGCCGGCAGACATGGCCGTGGAATGGCTGCGGATCTCTGGCGGCGGACGGGACGCTTCTGTCGTTGCTACTGCTTCTGCTGCTTCTGCCGCCGTGTTGTTGCTCGAAATAGCCTGCCGCCTGATTCTCCTCGTCTCTGACGCGCTATCGATCCCCCTTCGGCGTATACCGAAGAGAAGAGTACCTCGCGAAATGCCACAGGTTTCAGAGAATCTTTACCTCTCGCGCCCGCGAAATATTCCTCTCCCCCCTTCACCCCCCCGTCCTTCCCTTTCCTTCCCTTCTCGCCTCTTCTCGCCTCACCGCGCTGTGTCTCCTTCTCCCTTCTCCCTTTCTCCTTTACTTCTTTCTCTCACTTCTTCGCCTTTTCCTCGTCCTTCTCTCGGACACGGCATCTTTCTTTCTTTCTTTCTTTCTTTTTCTACGTTCGTCCGTCGCTTTCCTTCCCGCGGACGTTCCTCCATCTTCTTTCTCGCTCGCTCCGTTATTCGCGCCGATAGCACGCATACCTGCTCGCTGCATGTGTGTATGCGCCCTCTGTTCCACTCGCGAGACATAACCTTATCGCGAGGCTCGTTTTGTGACGGAGGCGTGTACCGACGCAACGCATCGCTTTCTATCGATTAAGGACCTCTTCGCGCTATTGTTCGATGGTTTTAAGAATCGATACTAGTGGATTTTTCCTTTCTTCGAACAACACGAACCACCGCCGATTTCATCCACCGAAAAGATGCGAGAAGATGGATGGTTCGAACATTGTTTATACGATTCACATCCAGTCCGATCTGAGTTCGCGCGTGACTCTCACAGTGCTCGACGAATGCTCGCATTCGCTATGATTGAAAACGATTCGGCAAAATTGTATTCCGCGATGACTCGTTCTCTGCTGTCTACCACTCGCGATGATAAATTTTTAATCTACTTTACCATCGTCTTTTTCCTCCTTTCTTTCCCCGAGAGTTTCACGGAAGAATTTAACGTGTAATCGGAAACGTGTGACACGCGAAAAAAAGTGTAACGGCCGCCCGCGTGCCGCCATAATTAGCCGTAAACAAGTGGCCTCTATAAATTATATCACGGTGGACTGGTTAAGCTTATTACGAGGGTCGACCGTAGACTACTGAAAAGCTGTCAAGATTATTATAGGGTCCCGTGAAAAATCGGCCGTCCCGTAGATGTGTCAATTCGTAACCTTGCACCCGAGTAAGTATAGTCCTTTGCCATCCTGTTTTATCCTCTTACCGCTAACGACCATTATATCCCTTGGAATAGCTCCCGTAAAACGGAATTTCCGTTCTTCTTATTCTCGCATATCCGTTGCACGATCGAACGTTGGAACGGGTCATCGAAGCACCAAAATTGATTTCGTTACAGTAAAACGATCGTTCGGATTTGTGCGTTGCGTATTTGGAAAATCGTTGATTCGAAATATACGACTCGTGGCGACACTAGCGATCGCGTATTATACGAAGCCGTTCGCGATCTGTTCGACGATATATCTAGTAAAAAATGTCGTCATCGGACCTTCTGAATTTCATCGTCAGAGGTCCCTCATTCGCACGATACACTGCCGTGATCGCACGATTGATACAGTTACCGACTATCGATCGTACGTTAACATCGATATGAAACTGCTTCCTTTTCGGTGTATCCCGTTACCATTGTGCTGTAAATCTTGCGACGAAGACAGATATATGGAATTTCATAATCACGAGAATCCTCGAGCGTCGGATTTTTTGCACGTTTTATTCGCAACTCGACCAGCAGTAAATCGTGTTGCGCCAACTTTTAAGAGGCAGTAAAATGCGGTAATACGCAATAACTGTATGAGAATTAATTAACGAGAAATTGATGCTCCTTCGCAAATCAGATTCTACTTAACCTCTAAATATTTCGTCTATAACGCGTTTCGGCGAATCGAACAGCAGGGTAGTCAGTTTTACGAGAATGATAAATTTATTTGACGTTTGTACATGCTTGACGAGAAAAAACGAAAACCGACAGAAAATGCGATAATCGAAAGAAAATGAATTCGTTCTCGGTTCGCATACGCTACTGATATTCGAAATCGTAACCTGTTCGAACAAGATGTTCTGTCCGCGGTGCGGCGCGTAGTTCGTCTTACGCAAATCACGAGGTTAGTTCCGCGAACAAAGAAATACGATCAGTTTTTCTTCCCAGTTGACGCGGCGATTGTACCTGCGACGAAAAAAATATGTCACAGGTATGACAAGCTATTCGTTCCTACGCAATGCCGAGCCATTGTTCCGCGGCTGCTTCGTCTGGCTCGACAAGACGATAAATGGGAAAATGAACGTGGCCTACGAGTTACGATCTTCCGTGTACGGTAATTATTATTGGTTTTCCAGCAAGTCACCATAGTTTATTTAGCTCTCACGATCAAATGAGGAAGTCGTGAACCTGTATTTAAAATATATTATCGAAAATATGACTATAATATGTTCCGCTTGAGAAACTTTTAATGCTCTTTAGAACAATCTTATTTTCCTAATTATTTTTTTAATACGTATCAAATAATAACTTATTTTTTATTAAACAACGAACCTTTGGCGTAAGATAAATGGTATAACGTTTATAGCTTTTCCTTTTCGGTCGACTCGATGTTTTAACCTCCTAAAATAAATAAGCCTGATCGCTACGTCTGACTATATATCGAATAACTCTACTTCGCGCACTTTGGTTTTGAATTGTGATTGCACCAAAGTCCGTAGGTACATGCGTTTAGGGTTAATAGTAAAATACGATATGGTAGAACCATTTTGAGGAGAAATTTATACGCGCATTTATTTCTCTTATCCTGGATATTAGTAGAAAAGGACGGCGCTTGATCAGACTGGTGCATAGAAATGGAATCACGAGAAGAATAAGCGAGAGTAACAACATAGCGAATTTTATTAGTTTTTTTTTTTTTTTCGCAAGATATACGTCTTCGTTTTAAAATGTGCGTTCCAGAATATTAAATAACGAAATAAAAATATTTAACATGTACAAGATACTAAAATAGATATAACTTTCAGTTGCATTGTACTATTACTTTTGTGTCATGCATAAGCAGTAACATTCTTGCATTCGAAAATTGAGTAGATCTAAGACCTGTCCCTCAGAAAGTTCTGCATAATTATATATATTTAATCAATGGTCATTTTGGATAATATCCAATCCATTTTCTGTACGTAATATTCATTGTTTCTTCTACTAAATTATCTATAGGGTGTATTATAAAAGGTATGGATGTTAAGCCGATAATGGTTGGAATCCACTTATTTTTTAAAACCATGTTATTGCTTCTCTTTTGTACGAATTGAACAGCAGCACAAACTCTGTTAATTGTGAATCCAGGAACAATTACAGATGCAAATGATTGCCACAACAAGGTATCTGACATAGAAAGTAAAGTACTTTTTGTAACTTTTGGAGTAACATTAGCCTGAAACATAAAATGTTTATAGCAAATTTTTATCGATATATGTAATATGTTTAAATAATATTTTTATATACTTAACTTACTCGATAAACTTTAAGGCCCTTATTAACCGTGTCTGCAAGAACATATCCACTGGCTAGTGCATAACTGAGCCATACAATTGAATTTGGAACTATAGATCTAAAAGCTTCTCCAACCTCATTTGCATATCCTGTAAAAATAATAAAAAATGATATACACAATTTATAATACAACATACGAAATATAAGATTAATTTTTAAAAGATAATTAAAACTACTTAAAACAACAAAGAAAATTCAGAATAACGAATTAAAAGATGATTTTAACTTTTTGTTACCTAAATATCTGACAGGTGTATCACGGTATAAATCCACTTCTTTTTTTATTTCTTTCATGGTGAAAATATGATTTATAAAATTTAAATATTACTAAACATAACCTATTTTAATGTATCTGACACGTTGTTCGTTGCCTTAAATGACATACAATGGCATGGTATCGATTTTGTTCCTAATATTCTAAGTTACGTAACTTATAAGTAATTAAGTACACTTCTGGCAAATACAATAAATGTACTTTTAGTGTAGTTACAGAATAAGTTATAAAAAATATAGTCCTTTGAAAAGATTCAAAGGATTTATGACCAAATTTCATGTATAGGGAATTTTATTTCTTGACACTTCTGTTAAAATGTCAACAATTTATAGGCGGTCAAAAATTCAAAATAATGAAGGAATAACGTTAACAAATTAATTGCATAAATTTTTATTTGTTTATATAATTATGATATAAAAAGGTACCTAAAAATCACAATAAGTCAAATTACAAATTTAGTTTCCAATAATATTCTTTTAAATGCTATATAAATATGTATGAAATGTAATCAGTAATTTAGGCTTTATTATTAAACCATGTTTAAATTTTATGAAAGAAAACAGTAAACGGTATGTAAAATAACTAAAACTGAAATAGAAATGTATTAGAACTGAAATACATTAGTCGTGTAATTGAATATTATTAAAAACAATTTGAATGTTAGTGAAGAATATTAAGAGTTACGTCTTAAAATAAAAAGAGAATTTGCTAATTTATAAAAGTTTCAAAAGCAAAATATATAAACATAATACTGAATTTATATCAACGCATGCAAGTATGGCGCTCAATCCTATTATCTCGTTTGTGTATAACATAACCTTCGAATGTCCTTTAAATCGGAGAAATGTTATCCCAAATTTTAATGGATTAGCTTGCTCTTCCAGAAATATGACAGGACCGTAATATTCGTAAGTGAAAATAGTTGGTACATCACCATTCAAGATGATAGATCTCAATTTAATTAGGGAATACTTTAGTATGCAAGTTAATGAAATAATTTGTTGGTGGTGGTTTTACATCAATGAAATTTCATGGCAGTTATTAATAGCTGTTACCGCGTATCTTTGTGTTTGTATTTTTCTCTATTCAATCTTGAAGAAAGTTAGCCACACAGCGTGGCAGTTTCCAGGTCCACCTGCCAGAATACTGTTAGTTACAGCTCATCCTGACGATGAGGTCATGTTTTTTGGTCCACTGGTGCACTGGGTTACAAGATCAAAGGCTAGTGAAATTTACCTCCTCTGTCTTAGCAATGGTACGCTTATTGAATCCATATGGAAATAATATATTCCAAGGGTTAGGATATTTCTATGTATTTTTTCAGGTGGAGATAGGAGAAGAAAGGAAGAGTTATGGCAGTGTACAAAAATATTAGGAATTCCAGAAGATAATGTAACTATAATAATGTAAGAGATTATTTCATTTGCTTTATTTACAAAATAACTTATTATTAATTATTTGAATATAGTTAAATATTATGCTTTTAATCTTCTATCTTAGTTCAATAAATACATGTATAGGAGTACAGAGTTACCTGATGATCAAAATGTACAATGGCCAACAGAGATAGTGGCAGAATGTATTTTACAGTATGTAGAATGTTATAAAATCAATGCAGTTGTAACATTTGATAAATATGGTATAAGCAAACACAAGAACCACATTTCCTTATACTTTGCTATAGCTGCACTATGCATAGAAAAAAAAGTACCATATTGTTAGTACTGTTTATTGGTGAATGGAATTAAGTTGCACAAAATTTTAAATAACTCAGTCTCTTTTCAGATTGTAAACTATACATTTTAGAATCTGTGAATATAATTAGAAAATATGTACAACTTTTAGATTTACCAATTAGCTTATTATCTGCTTCATATTGGTATTTGCTAACATATGATCAAAAAACTATTATAAAAGTAAGTGTGCAGCTAATAAATATAAAATCAAAAAATTTATTCCGTTCATAGTTGCTAATATGTGCGAATTATTTTTATAGAAAGCTATGACTGCACACAAGTCACAGTATGTTTGGTTTCGAAAATTGTACATGATATTTTCGCGATACACGTTCATTAATACCTTCCAAGAAATGAGTGCTCTTGATCTGGAGTTGGATCTCCAGTTTGATGACGAGTAATCTACGTTACTTTATGCTATTGTACAGATCGCAATTAATTGTACATAAATTAAAACCGAATTTTTAATTCATCTATTAATATATAATACAATCGCCATAGGATTCCCGAAGTAATTTTTAAACTGTTTTTAAGAATTAAACGTATATATCGAGTAGAGAGTATTTTTTATTCGACCTTACAGAAATATACAAATGTTTAGAAATAAAAATGTATCGCAAGAATAACAATAAATTCATTTTGTATTACACTTATTATAATTCGTGCGTTAACCTTTCTTACATAATTGTTTTATCACAAACTTGTGTAAAGTAAAATGTAATTTCCAATTTGATATGTACTTATTATATATGTGTAATATGATATTTATTTTTAATTTATTGAGCGCTCAACAGAACTTTGAATTACCATTAAATAATTTGAGCAAGTATGAAATTATTGCAAGTTAAACTTGCTATTTTAAGTAGCCATTTTTAATATTGTTATGATTTAAATAATTTTGTTATAATTTAAATCGCATTAGATTTGGCACAGTTAAGATTTGTGCATAAAATACAATTTGAACTACTTTTCTATTGTCATTTTAACGTTTCACAGTAAAATTTAATCTTTTTCTAATAATTATACTACAGCAATAGACCTGTAATGTAACACTCAATTATTCATGCTATAAGAAATGATAATTATTGAATTATAAATCCTAGAGATACTTTTTAGCTATGAAATGAAATTATTAGAAATGTAACTAGAAAGTTAAAAAAGAAAGAAAGAAAAACATAATAGAAAATAATAAATGTTCGACATTTTTTTCAACACTTTGATAGCAATATGTAATGTGAATAATTTTCTTAGTTTATCTTAAGAAAGTACAAAAAAGCTGTACTTTTTACATAAGAAAATCTCAATAAGAACAATATTAAATAGAATACAATGATACAGTCTGTGTCAATAAACAGTCTCATATAATATAAAGACAATATAAAAGAAAACTGTAATACTAAATAATATATTAATGCACTGCAGAAACTTGTTTATATGAAATATAAGTATATATATATATATATATTTATATAAACTATTTACTATATATATAAAGATATATAGTTTATATAGAAAGTATATATAGAAAGTATATTCTCTGTGCGCTTATATTTGTTATATTTCGCACATATGTACTAAGTAGTTTCAGACGAAAAGAAGTACATTGTGTCAACAAATATGTACGAAATATGGAATGTTTTTGTATGTCTTATACTATATATAGAAATTCAACAAATAATCGAATAAATTAACGCTACGAAAGATGAAATTCTTATTTGCCTCAAATCGGATGTATAGCTTTAAGACAAAATAAATGCTTACAAGACAGTCGCAGAATATGGACGGCATAAAGTGTTCCCGCGAGATCCTCGATCAGTAAACTACTACAACATTAATCAATTAGTAGAATACTGAATTTAGGTACATAGAGAAGAATAACATCGAATAGTTATCAATTCTTGTAGAATAAATATCTTCAATCTTTTGTAAACAAGAATATTGGAGTTATAAAGGATTCATCGCGAAGATCTCGCGGGCCGTATCCTAGAATCTATCTTTAGCACGATGATGCGAGCTCAAGGTTCCCATACCGGGTTGGGGAGAGTCTGGATCTCCTGGGTCTTGCAGGTACTGAAGTTCTTGTAATTCTTGAAACTTTTCATGATCCCTAATATGTGCATAATTGGCAGATAAACACATCAAATAATGTACAAGACTTAACACAACCAACATAGCAGCTACGGTTGCCAAAATAAACATGACTTCTGCCTTTTCAACAAAATCTTTACAAAATAGTTTTACTTCTTGTGGTCCACATACTTTCATATCCTCTATTCTTGTGTTATTTGGAAATATGAAACCTTTAAAAAATACAATACATAAAATGTAATCTCCCAAAAGTAATTAATCAATTGAAAAACTCATTAAAAAAAAAAGTATTTATACAAGTTATTATACAAACAATAACTTACTAAATTGGGTAAAATCAATACATTTATCAAGAGATTGGACACTAGGATTACTACATAAACCCCAGAATATAGTAAAAATCCAAGCAATTATAACCATAAATGCAAATATTAGAAGCCAACCTAGTTGTAGTATATAAGTGATTGTCATGAACTAAAAAATATAAAGTATATCTCTTTTTCTATTCTCCATACTGCAGATACTATTATAATCTATAATAATAAAGTTACATACAACAGCACAAGAAATACGTCCACCAACTCTAGACCTCCATGCTCTATATACTTTATGTCTTGTAGCTCCAGTTGCAAGACAACCAACACATAATATCATAAAACCCAAAGCTGCCATACTAGCACCAATTGTTGCGAAAGTTAACTGAACAGCTTCCAAGTATCCGAGTCTTAAATGAAATACCTTGTAACATATGATAATGATTAAATACATTAAACATAACAGAACATAAAAGAATTATAAAATAATTATTATAATAACTTACCTGATCCATCATTAAAGAACCTAATGTAACACCTCTATACATTGTACCACAAAATATACCTACTCCTAAGCAACACACTATTGTTGCAATAAGAGTTGCATATGGCACTCTAGCCATACAGTCATTACACATGCTCCCTACAAATAGTAAAAAATTGGTTTATACATAACTTAATATTGTGTAAATAAATAATAAAATAATATTATAATGTTAAGTACTACCGATTTTTTAAATATTATGTAATAATATATACATTTACATTAAAAAGAACTTACTACAAGATCGATTGTCATAATCAAACCCATGAAGACTTCTTTCGGAAAATCTATCTACACTAAAATTGCTTTCAAATCGTCTACGTAACGGCAAGATATCACTTGGATCTTGTTGATTTCTCATATTTAATTATAAACAACTTCAACATCCGATTGATTGAGGTGTTAAACGATGATTAACACGATGAATGAGTAATCTTTATATATATATATATATATATATAGATAAGATTATGATGCGTACCGTACGTGATTGCGCGTGATATTGAATTCCTACTACGAAATTCCTACTGTTCCGAGTAACAACCTACCTTTATGTCCCTATCTTGAATAATAAAAAAATTATTGTAAATTTTTTTGCTTACCCATTTTTCGATTTTATTCGTGTTCAAGGTTAGGTTCGTTTTAAATGGGCACTGCCCGTTGTTGATCCCGAGACTACACGTTAGAATTCTCTCAATTAATGTCGTAATTGAATGTCATTCTGTTGTATTAGTGAATAACATCCCACACGCGGCTCGTAATTACACATCCGTACGTTACACCATTTGTTCACGAAGACCCCATAGATTTCGACATACTGATGTTATTATCAGCTTCTATCTTTCTTTAATATTTCTATATGTTTTATTAAAATAATTTGTAATAGTGAAGCAATATACATTAACACTACACAGTCATTTTTCCGAGTTAACTTAAATATACATGTTCTCGAAATATCATTTGTTTTTTAATAACCCTTTAAAACAAGCCAATATGGCGACAAAAAGGTAAAAGTGAATGGGATCGTTGTTCTCTCAAAAAATTGTTCGGAAAATTAAACACTGTGTTTCCTTTTAATACTGTCAATTAGTTAATTAGCATTTTAGTTTACACTTATAATACTTCTAGGTGTCATTGATTTGAATAGCTTTATTTTAAATTTGATTAAAATTTACATTTGAATTTAAATTTCCTATAGAATTACATAAAAATATTGATTCTTTTATTATAGAATTTTATAAATTAGAATTCAGATATAAATATATTTAAAAAAAATAATAAAATGTATCTGTCTTATTATATTCCAAAAATCAATTTCTTCATAATTAAAAGATACAGTATATGTCATAGTAAATGTATAAAAATAGTTTTACTCTTATTATCATTAAACTACTTTAAATCTATAGTTTATATAAAATATTTAATGTCTAAATATATATTTAAAACTACCGGATATTTTTGTGTTTCGGTTGAAAAAGATATTTAATAATTGTTGGCAATTGATGTAATTTTTCTTTAATAACGTGAGGTACTTCCAAGTTTTGTTGATAATGTTGATTATATTTAGTAACAGTACCGTTATTACTTTCATAAACTATACCACCGCCATAGCTTGGAGGACTTACCTATAGATAATAAATTTAATCAAATTATACAGTTATTTTGATAAATTAAGTTTTTAATATTCTAGTATTTAAAAGTGTACTTACAGTTAAAGTAGAACCATCCTTATAATCAACACAAATATCTCCCGAAGATAATTGTGTTGCAGTACCTATACCCGGAACTACTACTTTATAAGTATTATTACTTGTATTTCTCATCGATTTCATTTTTCGTGATCGTGAGGCTACCGTTGAAATAACGGAACTAGCATCAAAGGATGGCATCTAAAGTATTAGTAAACAAATGTATACTTTTTACATTATATTTTATAAGAAAATATATTTGACTACATACCACGGGTGTATTATTTGTTGCTTGCGAAATATTTTCTTTCCCTTGTAAACAAGGAGAATCATTTAAGGCCGTATTAGGCCTACGTCCAATAATAATAGGAAAACAAGAATGTCCTGTAGCTGCTTCCAAAGATGTTAAAGTAGACTCTAATAACAAACAACGCTGATAACATTCTGAATAATGTTCATAATAATCATCGAAATGTGGTGGAAATTCACCCTCGATATAAATAGGGCCATCATTTCTTTCAGTTATTTTTACGACACCATCAACGCATGCGATCTATAACGATTAAAATCTTAATTTTTTTAATATCGTTTATAATTTATAACATTTATTTCTGTACCTTTACTCCATTATAAAAGTGAATTTCACAATCTGGATGTGGACCATTCTCCATAAATAAACATTTTGATTGTTGACTATACAGTGTTATTTTTGGAGTTTTTGCTCTTACAAGTTTTATAAAACGAGAAGCATATACATATTTTTTGTGATGGCGCGGAGGTAAGTTTTCGTATGAATAAATACTATCTGCTCCACGAGCAGGTAACGCGGGTGGTTGGCCACCAACATCTGTTGGAGCTGCTGGTTTGTAGAGAATAACTCTTAAACCATCACTTGATATTCGACATACTTCACTTATTTTTTCCTGTAACAAAAAGATAATTATATTTGGAAAATTTTTAAGAACAATTAATTTTTTTGTACGTACGATGCCATTTCTACGTTTAATAAATTCTATGCAAACTTCTCCATTTTCTAGAATAGTAAGAATTGCATTTTTCGTTCTGTGTCTAGTTGGTTGCAATCTTTCGGATGACAAAGGTGAAGTTTGTAACTTTCCTCCATCTTCAGTACTTTCAAAACAATTTTCTATCTTTTCTTTCTTTTTATATTTATCATACTTGTGTTTGTCAATATCTTGATACACGTCGCAACCGCTATATTGCTCACATTGTGAAAAAATTTTACTTTGTGGTGGTGGTGGTATTCCAACTAATACGGAATTTTGCTTAACGTAATAATCGATATAATTTGTTTTACGTGAATGCGTTTTTACAATAGGCTCAGATAAAGCTTCACTTCTTGCACTAATCATAGGTCCAAGACCATTCGACATAATAGGCATTGTTGACATTCTTTCTTCTGACCTAGAACGCATTCTTGGTCTTCCATATGAGGATAATGTTCTTCCAACTCCTGAATCAATCATACCATCTCCTAATAATCCTTTACTCATATTATTCTTTTCCTATTGATATAAATATTTATAATAAGCTAGATGAATAATTGTTTTATGTGATTTTTCAGTCACTACTTACACTGTGTAATTTATTTCTTTCCAAATTAGCTATAAATGGATGTTTCGGTATATCACGCAAACGAATTCTGTCCTTTGGATTTTTTTTTAATAATTTATCTATTAGATCTTTAGCATTATCTGATAAATGTGCTGGCATAACATAATCAGCCATGACTACACGTGTTAAAGTACTTTTAACGGCATCTGTATCAAATGGAGGTTTGCCAACTAATAAAGTATATAACATGCATCCTAGACTCCATACATCTGCTTCTAACCCATGTGATGATCTTGTTGCTATCTATAATAATATAAAAAAATATAAAAAGTACAATAAATAAATGTGTTCATATGTTTTAAACATATTCATGAAACATTTGGCAAACCTCAGGTGATATGTAATTTGGAGTACCACACATAGTTAAGTGTTTCTCATCAGGCCTTGTCAATTGAGTAGCTAGTCCAAAATCTGCTATTTTCTATGAATCAATATTGAATGACTTCTATATATTCAGTTTAATTACCTTAATTAAAGAATAATATAATTGTATTATATGATTTTTCTTACCACTTGCATGTCTCTTGTTAAAAGTAAATTAGAAAGAGACATGTCTCTATGAAGTATCTGATGTGAGTGTAAATATAATAATCCTTGTACTACTTGTCTTATTATACGGCCAGCTAAAATGATAAAAATATATATAATATATATAAACTGATAAAATAACAGTAATTATGAATTTATTTGTATTAATACCTTGCTCTTCAGGTATTGCACGAGAGCCCTGTATTTTAAGAAAACGTTGTAGTTCTCCATTATGACATAATTCTAACACCAAATAAACATAGTTGGCATCTTCAAAGAATGTGTACAATTCAAGTACTGCTGGGTGTTTCAACCTTGAATGAATACCTACTTCTTGTCGTACTCTACCCACCATTCCAGCAGCTTGCATTAATTTTTTGTCGATCTGAAATTGTTTATAAAATAGATGTACATTTATATGTGTAGACATATTTAACCTCAAAGATCATTCGAATTACCATTTTTATTGCAACTTCTATACCACTGCGAAGACATTTTGCTCGATATACACTTGCAAATCCTCCTTTCCCAAGTAAGTTTAATACTTCGTAATCCTAGGATTAAACATTATTAATTTAACGTTATAATAAAATAAATAAGTGTTCAAATTCAAAAATCTAACCTCTATTTGTTCACCGAATCCTCCCGATAGCGGTGGCATTTCCAGCACTCTAGTGATAAAGCCGTATAGCCGTTTCACTCACCACGATCACTAAATACCACCTTTTCTATGTATATAATTTTTTTAAAATTAAATACATTTAGGAAATTTATTAATAAATTTGTAAATAGAAATGACATGGCGCGTTCGCCATATTTAAATTTCACATACTTTCAAATTCCATAGGTGGCGTTTTAAAAACAGATTTTATTTGTCACTTCAAAATGTTCGCAAAATAACCAATTTATAATATAACTATAATAGGATTAAATGGACAATAATAAAATTACTCGAATTTTTTGTGAATTTAAATGTGTTTTCAATGTCCACAATTGTAATTCATACTAAATAACGGTAATTACAAATTAATTACAAATAATATACAGCACAATTTTTATATTATGCATTCGGATTGTATTAATGTTTTAGCGAAATTGGACGAAATATTGAAATGCTGCACATTCTTTTGACATTAGTACATGATTAATCTACAATATAAATATTTTGATGTTTAGTTCTTATAATAAATACCTTACATTTACATTTTTAATTATTAGTTTCACTTTCACTGTGTAAGGAAATAATTCATACTATAATTGTACACTTATTACACCTTTCATTTATGAATTATTTGTGGCACAGGATTCGTTTACATCGCGTTTTATATTATTGACCTATGATTTAAACTACCATACATGAAAAGTATGGAGTACTTTTCTCTTCATTAGGTCAGTCTTTAGAAATAACACAACTACAATTAATAACTCAGCGATGTTCAGTACTTTTACTAAAAAAAAAAAAGACTGACATTACATTAAAGTAAGGAATTATTTTGAGTATTCATAGGCATAGGATTTTGACATCGTTGTGCCGGAGGTTGATAAATGGGTTGTGTGCTTCTTTGTTGATTACGTTTTTTGTTATAAGCAAATTTATTTGCAGGAACAACACCACTTCCTCCTCTTCGAAATTCCATACCTGCTATAGAAACTTTTATAAATAACTTTCATCTTTATATACTTGAAATATAGACAATTTAAATATTGCAAAAAAATTGTAGATTTACCAGTTATATGATTTTGAGTTTGGTCATATCGTAACTGCCTATTATTAAATCGTTGATCCGATTGTTTTTGATCCATAACATAATCTTGAACAGCTTGATTCTACATTTAAATGCAAACTATTTATTATCTATGTATGATATTAAAATTACATCCACGTATATTTTACATACATCATCTGTTATAGGTGAACAATCCACTTGAAGTACTTCTTCATAATTTTCAAATCCTTTAAACTGCACAACGCATGTCCTGTCTGATACGCCTGTTACTTTCGCGTTATAATACTATATTTAAAAAATAACAATTGAAAATTTATAATAATACAACTGACAATACAACAAGGTTTTGATTATAATCGATTATACTATCTCACCCTATTGTCTTCCCAGTATTTGGCTAGACATTCATCACCTACGCGCCAAACCCAAGTACTGCCAACAGAAGAAACATTGGTATTTTGATTGTTACTGTATTGGTTTTGACTCCTTTGATTGTTGGATCCTAAAGTCCCTTTGCCACCTGAATTTTCAGTATCATAGTGATTATAATTCCTGCCAGCACCGAAATGTTTTCCTTGTTGATCTTGCGGAGCTTTATAATAATTATTACTATTCATAATATTTGTTCCATTCGTACGTGTATGCACATTATAATTTCTGGAATCATTTAATTGAGATTTCTGATACGTTTTATTTAAAGTATCTTGTTGAGAATAACTGTGATTATCCTGATTTCGTTGAAATCTCGGTGGTTTATTTTGTTGAGAATGATTCCCTCCATTATACTGCGAGTATTGAGTGTTAGAATTATTAAAGTTTGATTTTTTGCTATTCTTATTTTCTTCTAAATGTCTTGGAGGGACTTGATACCCACGACCTCCTTTCTGAGATCTACATGAAGAAAACTTCAGTTACCAAATTATATGACAGAAAAAAATTCTATTAGCAATGGAGCATACCTTCCACTTTTTCCACTTTGTGATTCATTATTTTTAAGTTCAATTTTATCATAACTGTTTTCAGTATTCGGCGTATAACTGTTCTGAGATGGATTACTCGATTCCGTAGATTCAGATTGCAGAGGTAATTTATCTTCAAGAAAATCAAAAAGCGATATTTTTCCACTACTTGGTTTACCTTCCTCGCTTTTTTTATCGAATCGTTTATTTCGTGGTTCTCGCGCTTCTCGTGGTTCTTTAAACGAACTGCAATGAGGAATCAATAATTAAAAAATTATATAAATTTAATATATTAACATAAAAGAAATGGATATACTTGTGTCTGTTATCTGTTTTCTGCAAGCTTTTTAAAGCTTTGTCAACGTTATTTCGATTAACTTTTAAGGCATACTCTGCTTGTTCTATAGAAAAACCTTGATCTACGATTTTTTGTACACTGTGATCTAGGAGCTGTAAAGTAATTATGTAAGATAAAACTGTTTTAAATTTAACCAAAGTAAATATACTTAATAGCATATACCTGTTTATTTCCTCCACCAAAAGCTTTCTTACTGCCTTGTTTAGCAGCTTCTGCTATAGCATCCTTACGTTGAGCTTCAAATTCTGTATTTTCTTTACTAGACTTTTCTTTTTCTGCTAAAGCTTTAAAATTTCTGTCATGTTCAGGAACTTTTGTAATTTTCTTTCCAAATGGTATCCATGGTGGTGGGCCACCTTCTTCTGCTGATCTCATTCTTGTATGCAATGCCAATTTCTGTTAAAAAATATATTTCTTAATTTCATATAAACTAGAACTGAATGATATAACATACTTTGTTCAATTCCCATTTTTCTACAAGATTTGTTACTTTTCCTCCAAGCACTTGTGCTATGTTTGATGGTCTTAATAAAATAATTCCATGAGATATTGGTAAGTTTCCATGACCAATTAGTATTTTTGTACCAGGAGGTGTATTTAAACTGTAATATAATTAAACTCACCAAAAATTCAAAATTCACCAGATTGGTTTTTCATATAAATTTATAACATGGAAATAATTAATATTATCTATATAATTAATAAAGCTTTGATTTTTTACCTTAATGGTGGTATATGTTCAACTTCTATAGCTTGAAAATTATTTTTACCATCTGTTAAAAAGAATTTTAACAAACGAGGAGCTGACCGAGAATCTTCAATGTTTTTAGGAACAGCTACATTGCGTATTTTCTGTATTTGTAATACTATATTACCCTGAGTTATATCTCCTTGACCATTACCAACCTCTCTTAAATCAAGCTATACAATGTACAAAAAAAGAAGAATTAAAATATATGAGTAATTATATTCTTGAGAAAATGTTATATAAGGAACTATTCTTACATCCAATAATCGCTTGATAATTTTCTGTATATCATTTATACTTCCAGAATCACTCGCAGTATTATAACCATGATCTGTAATGTACCTAACGCAAATATTTACAAATATTTATATGTCCAAATTTAAAAACTGATATTTGTGTTTTTGAACGACAGTGTTCATAAATAATAAAATACACGAGTTTTTATACGAACCACCCCTTTTCTTTCAATTTTTCCATAGTATGCACTGTCATTTTTTTCTCGAACCAGGTTTCTCAGTGAAACGGTCGTTTTGATTCGGCAACTTTCTCAGGTGAAATTTCATGCACGTTACATGCGTACATTCGACTTGTACATAAACATGTGTCAGCTGACGTGTTAACCAGTAGAAAACTAATCGTCAAGATATCAATAATCCTAAAATCAAAAGCAGCTATTTTTACAGCTAATCAGAATCGTTTATTATGCATTACAGTGCCACTTTACTTGTCCAAATAACGAACAAAAGGAACCGCGCCTATTAAACCTCGAATTCTTTGCCACCATCTTGAACATTTAGTGCACAGTGATTTTAAGATCGATATATCGGTACTATGTAGCAATAAGTTAGTATCGATACATCGAGTATTATTTGAACAAGGTGCTACTACTACAGGCATCATATTGTTCTGTAATAAATTACATGTTGTTGACATTTCAAGTAATATTTCATTGCATTTTTGAACTCCTAGCATACATAAGGAATAAAATAAGCATGTATTTAACATAAATTTCTAATAACTTCTTATTTTAAATACGAAATTCAACTATATTGTTAAATTCGCACAAAATTATATGATTCGCATATAACCGTCATTCTTGTAACGCTTGTCGACACTATGTGCCACTCAAAACAATCGACAAGGCGGAATAGATGCAAAGAGGACGAATAAAGAAAAAAGGAAACTACGGTATCCATTTGTAAATCAAGGTATTAGAATTTGAATGAATTCTTATTTTAATTCGATTCGCCTAGGTCTACCCTATAGTTACAAAGTAATTATGCCTAAACAGAAACAGAGTGAAATCAGTGTCGTACAGATTTTGTAAAAAATCACCCAAAGGAGATCAAGTAGATGAGTGGATTAATCGAATGTAACGCATCGTAATTTGAAAATGATGCTTTAACATAGTTATATGAAGAAAATGGGTCATGAGTGTAGGTTTCGTGCGTTAAGTTCTAAAATCGAATTCTAGTCATCTGTAAGAGTTACGTTTCTCGAATATTTGAAATTCCATGAATTGTAACTGTTGTATTTATGTAAGTATAAAACAAAACTATCGCAGAGTACAATATTTTTATTAATTTTTGAATAACCTATCAAATTATTTATTAACCTATTCAGTCATATTTATCGTAGCCATTTTGTAAGTTAAAATAAAATATAAAAACGATATAAATTAATAACGATCGATTTTATAAATTCGAAATTACAAAATATACTTCGCAAGATTCGTAAATCGATAACGATCGATGAATTTTACAAAGGTTACTATCACCAACAGGCCTCATGGTGCTGGAGGATAAGAAAGACATCAATTGCTGATCGGTCCAATTTGAGCTGATGATTATTACTCGGGTGGAGTCTCGTTTGAACAAACGATGAAATTAGATCAGATAGGAACTAACTTTGGAAATGACGGAATGGTATAGACACGATTAAGAATAAGACCCACCCATATTACCAATGCAGCAGCAAATTTTGCAATTGGATACACACATCATAACGATCATAAATTTATTACCCCTAGAAATTTCATTTATGGTATTTACATTTTATACTATTATATCGAAAATAGAATGACTGTATTTTCTAAAAAGAAAGTACAAACATAAATCTGTTTAAAGACATCTCGCGTTTTAATTAAATCTTATGAAATATGGGAGAAATTACTTTTGTATTACTAGGTCAGGTTTACCAAATAAAAATTATGATATTACAGGCGCATGGATATGGATTAGATATAAATAATACCACTATGGCTTTCCACGGAATGATTCTACCATTTGTAGCCTTGGAAACGTATAAACTATATATTCTTCGCGTTACTCAAGATTCTAAACATAGATTATTTCGATGTTGCATACTATACAATTTATGTTTCACGGAATTTCAGACAAAAAGAAATATATGCACACATACACACACACACACATATGCCGTTCACCGTGTGTTCCACTACCACGAAAACAAACACAAACTTTTATTCACAATTCCAATCGATCGAAGATTCATAATAGGTAACGTCTAGATGTCTTATAAGCTATAGCAAATTCCTTATGCCAAACAAAAGCCATGGTAATTACATCGAGTGAACGTAAGAATTCATTCGAATATAATATTACGAAACGTCGTTTCAGTGCGAGACGTACACGCCGTCGCATTCATCCGTCGGTTGTATCATGGCAGGAAGAACGACTATTCACAGACGACTATCGTGCAAGCTGAAATAAGTTAGACCTAGATTACATCGATACAAGACCAATAAGACACAGACGTTCATTGAATCTCGTTTACCGTGGCTAATATGTACTCTGTACGTACAGGGCGTCGATCTACTCCATCTGGCATGCGATACAAGAATACGAGATGTATCTCGTTGCATATATCTGACACGCAACGGTCGAAGACGCTGTTGTACCCCACTTTCGGTAGTCTGCCCCTCTCTTCGAAGCGTGGATTCTCCGCGCGTTGGATCGCACAATGGATACACGCAGCATATAGAAACGAGGATTTGCGTTAGGTACGCACAGGTACGATGGGGACACGGTAAACGATGACTCGTGGTGGAAAAAGGAGATTCGACTAAGGAGTAGAAGAGAAACGAGACAGTGGGAAGGAGACAGAAAGAGGGAGAGTGAGAAGGCGAAAAGGAGAGGGAAATAATATGAAAGAGAGAGGGAAATAATCAGGGAGACTGAGCAACACGGTAAATGAGAGAAAGAGAGAGGGAAAACAGAGAGGGAGCGAGAAAGAGAAGTCGTGTCGGTTTTACCATTTCAGTTTCACTCAGACCCGGCCTGAAATCGCGCGTGTCCACGCCGATACTCGAGCCGCAGCTTCGTGCCTGAATTAAAAGCGACGATTTTCCAAGCTGCCGCGCCTTGACGTTAGTACCACTCGACGAAATCGTGGGACTAAGTGATTTTTCCACTTTGCCACTATCGAAGCAACATTTGACCGCGCTACGTGAAACGGTGTCACATTTCATCGGCGAAAGAAATTGTTTATCTTTCCTTCACTACCAACACCGGTGACGACGAAAGAGAGGCCGAACATACGGTAACCAAGTAAGTAACATTCTTCAACGATCTCACCTCAGTGTCAATCGTCGATTGCGATCAATTATACACAACTTCGCTTTGTATCGATATGAGATTGAATTCGACGCTGTCAATTGATTCCCAATCGCGAACGATAGTTTTCTGTTTGCTCGTGATATCTTTTTCTATAATGCCGACCACATTGTTTTAATAATCGTTCGGCGTGAATTCGATGTTTTGAAACGCAGACTCAGTGTCTTTACGGATGAAAATATAGCGCGGTAATCTGTTTTAAGCAACGTGAATCGGTCGGGAAGTCCAATTACAACCGATTTAGCACGTTCGAGCGATAATGCTGGGATTAAGTCACTTCTACAAATACAAATTCCACGAAGTCGCTATGGTCAACGATGTTGTAACTGGCGATGGTTCGTGTTACGTTTCGCCATACCGCGCGAGCAATTTCGATTTTGAACGATCAATCGTAGCGAATGACGTCGCGTATTCGCGATAGCGCATGCGCAGTGCGTTCATTTACGAATTTATACGACGCACAATAGTCGAAAAACGGCGATATATCGATATCGTGATACATATCGACGTTTTGACGTATCGTAACGGTTAAAAATTTCGCAGCATCCATATTGCTAAGGAGAGTGGCGACATTGTCGCGATTGTTTGTTTTATACGTCGTCGCGGAGCAAAGAATGGGCAGGCGTACATGTAATTGTAATCGCGCGAGCATCGTGAGCATGAGTCCCGGCGATCGTACAACGCAGAATAAAACCCGGTGACCTCGGTTCGACGTAACTTTCGACCGACCGAAAGAAGGGGTCCTCCCTTTGGCTTTTTCTTCGATCGTTCCTCTTTTCTCTTCCTAACCATCGACCCTCGTTTTCTTTCCAGGTCAGTCGTCGTGTGACGTATTTCGATATCGATCTCACGTGTAATCGCAACTATTCAATTCCCCGCTTTAATTCTTCAAATCGTTCAGTTTTCCCATTACCAGGGCCGTACTAAATTTTTTGGCACCAACGTCGTAATTTTTACGACAAACAATCCAGATTGAAACGAATGCTGCGAATTTATGGTCCGTGACATTGTGACGCACATACTCGCCACGAGAAACGCGTTTTTAACGATTTTCTCATCGTCCACTTAACCTTCTAGCTGATTCGCTGAAACGCCTCGACGGCATTCCACGTTCTCGGAACTCTCTATCGTCGCCTCGCGTTTTTGACATAAATCATCGACCGTTTGGTGCCTCGTAGACGCAACCTACCGGAGAAAACGATCGCTGCGAGTCATGGCTGCAGCGTGAGACGCTCATCCCTATTGGTCAAGTGGTACATCTATACTCGATGATATCAATTCAAGTGGGGTTAGTTTTCGTCCAGCGTTCGTGAGTCACGCATAGGTCATTTAACACAATAGTGTCTCGTCGATGGGAACAGCTTAACTTGGCTCGACTCATTTGGAATGCGAAAAGAGTCAAAGACGTTGCAACTCGTAATTTCCCGACGGTCATTACGACCAACTGACCCCGTCCTTATTATTATTACCCTTCTGCTAAATGTCTGACCAATTTTTAATTTTTTAACGACTGCAAATCGGTTCGTAAAGCGGGTAGGTGATAAAAAGGAATAGGATACGAGTCGGGAGTCGCCAAGGAGTGATCGATACGCGTCGAAGTCGCTTCGAATGGTCGCAATTACGACGCGGAAAGGAAGCTATGTCGTCCTAATTAAATTAGTAGCGCCCCGGTGGTCGGTTGCTCATTACTCGTTTAGGACGAGGAAGGAAGCGTCTTGGTGACGTCACTTGTCCTGGCACTGCAGCTGCTCTATTATTTTTGCGTTTTACATTGCCCGTGGATTACTTAATGCAAAGGGAGACGCCACTTTCTCTCTCGTATAACGTGTCTTTAAGGCAGTATGTATGTCGGTGCGTGACCGAGCCTCTCGAGAGCACCTCTACAGTTCGTTGCAAAACCGGTGTGTCCCCTCGGCATACGATATCGTTGCACTACGAAGTCGTTGCGTAACGTTCGCGCGTTTAAGGCGGTTCTCAATTGTCGCTCATCGAATTACGTCACGTTACGTCGCCTTACGTCGCGTTACGTCAAGTTCAAGTAAATTTACCCTTAACTCGGAATTGATCGGGGGTTATCGTGTCGCCGAGATAACGAGAACGTGGTAGCTAGAATTCCGCACGAAACGTCGAGTTCTCTGACACTTGGGGGGAGGGCTTAACGACGTATAGGCAGAAACGGTCACCCATGGTGAAAGAAACGACGAGTACGGATATCGATAAAGGCGAGTGTACACGCGATGTCACGTGAGAGCGTTACTTTTTGCGTGACAGTAAATATGAATTAATTGTGATGTAAGTTTAAATAATCAAGGGTAATGAATGCGTGTACACGACCTTAGCGATTCGTGGCACGAAAGCGTGCCGTATAACAATTTTCGCGCCACCATTGTAAATTCGCCTTTATTATCCACGGTGAACAATGGCCGAGACGCCACGGACGTTGATCGCGAAGGATCTCGCGCGGCTTTGAGACGATGCCTCTGAATCGAGCTGCGAAGGGGAACGTTGTCTGTCGATCGGCTGGTCTTCTCTTTCGTATAATACCCGAGCGAATCGTACCTTCCACGATGAACGGTGTATCACCATTTGAAACCGGAAACGTTACGTCACCGTTATGAAATGTCTGTCGCGATGAAAACGATGAAGTCGATGAAATCGCCGATGGAAATACCAGAAGGAGGAAAAGAGAGGGAAAAAACTGTAAAGAGAGAAAAGAAGGAAGTGGAGAATAATAATAATCTGATGGGCTAAATTGCGAGCGTAGAATGCTTTATAAGCACCAGCGGCACTGTTTCCCTGAACAGATAACGATCGCGTAAGGAAGCTAATGGTTGTAATTGTGAAACGGAAATCGAAATGTTGGCGCGCACGTACGCCCCTGGAAACTGTCGTTCCGAGTGTAAATAACGCCATTCTTTCCCTGTCATACCGATTCCCAACTCGTCCGAGTTTCCGCCATCTAGGTCAAATCCGTTGAGGAAAATTGCCCGAGATTACGCTGGCATGACAATTGAATAACTCCTTGAGAGTGAACAACCAAGGCGCCAACACCTCGAGATCGTGGAATATCGCGTGTCTTCGAAACCACGCGATAAGGATCAAGATCGTGAAGAAAACGGAATATTACCAGCAGCTCTCTCGACGCTGGAACCATCAGTAATCCATATCCGAACAGAGTACGCGTGGATTATAGTAATTAAGGTGTTACGATGAGAATAATTAACCCTTTCACTATGGATAACGTGCATATATGTTGTGTGTTTTTAAATGTCCGCTTAATCACTTGTTAAAAGTGTACATCTACGTCTTCTATAACATAGAATCATCTTTATTTCCATCATCAGTCGCAACTCATTACGCGAAGCACTTGGATCAGCGGTTTTCAATCGTTTTTTTCTGTATGAAATTTTGTTGTACATCGAAACGTCCAATTTGTAATGTATTAGCCTTGTCATCTTTTCATTTGACAACCTAAAGCAGGAAAGATCTTTATTTCCAAGTAAACAGGTACCATTCGCTCCAAAAGTTCTCATATCTCGCTAATGTGATTTTGGATAGTAGTTGAGAATCACTGGAATAGACGATAGAAAGAGAATCAACGAATTTTCGTATTCGAGATATTAAATAAAATAGGAGGTTTGTATAGACGAACTCGAGTTTGTCGTAACCCAGGTCCTAATCTTCGAATGCAAGCTCGCGAGATACCGGTTGAAAATCGCTGACTTGAAAATCACTGACTAGATCTAAAATATTCATCACTCGTATTTTTATCTTCTTACGTCGTTACCCATCCTGTACCACTCTGTACCAAAAGTGCATTCCCGAGAATACCGTAGTTAATTATTACTTTAGGTCAATATAAAATAGCACTCGAGCGGTTCTTTTAATACCCTGGAGCTTAAGTAACGAGTACCAGGCAATAACTTGATTAGAAGTAACTACGTATGAACTATTGAAATGAAATACACGTGATTTTCTTCTTTTATTTTACCGTAAAAGGTGTCATCGAGTTTAGAAAAATATAATAAACTTGTTATGCCTAGTTCAGTATTAACCCTTTGCACTCGTGAGGCTCCCTTCAGTCGCCATTTGATAAAATTTCGAAGATGGATATTAATTAACATATCAAATTTAAGATAATGTAACGGTATGCAAGGTATAGAAATCAAATAGTTCTACATGTTAATTATTATACAATTTCCTATTTACTGCTGGAAAAAGTATCGTTAACTTTATAGCAGAAAATCTTTGAACTCCTACTCATCTTTAGCCAAAAAATCGTCGAGTGCAAAGGGTTAAGGCTAAATCTATTAGTACAGGAGCCAAAATGGACCTTCTTACATTTCTCATTAAAAATTTCCTGTTCAACGTTGTCGCCATGTTGACTCGCCTTTGCGATTTTTCTCTTAACCCTTTGCACTCCGAGTAATTTTTAATATCACCTACTAGAAACTCCGTGTAATTTTTATTATGGACTAGCAGCTACTCCGGGAGTATTTACAATGGCGCCAGCGAGTCTCTGTGGAAGATTGAAAATGTTACTTTGTCATTAACAGGCAGCCATTTTGAAATTCCTATTATTCTCAGGATATAATTACGAATTATCAAACAATATGGCAAAAAAAAAGAAAAAATCGTGCAAATTATTAACGTTTTCTATTTAAAGTTCTTTATTTATTTACTTGTTCAAATTTTCAAAAAATATAAATTTAAAAAATTAGTATCGCCGAACACTGGTGACCACCATGGCCCCACTGAGGAGACAATCTCCGGTCACTGATGACCACCATGGCATGGTATATATTTTAAAAATTTGTTTTATTATATCACCGCAATGGCGACAATCGAGTGCAAAGGGTTAACTTAGGTATAACCAATTTCCCAATATCTCCACGCGTTTCAGTCTCCAAAAATCCTCCTTATCTTATTTCTTTGTCTATGTACTTCGTCTTCGTCATGGTAATTTAGCGTTAAGACGAGGCGTTAATTGCACCTTGGCGTAAACAACGCCTGGTTCTCTTAAGTGCACCGTTAACGCGATGATCTCGTGTTGCACTTTCGAAGGATATGCATAAAGCAGACCCCTAGCCTGTAAATTCCATCTCGATAACCATAACGATGTATCAACCACCGGCCCGAAACGACCTACTTGCATTGGCCTCAAGAGGAATCGTCGTTACGCCTCCATCTGCGCGAAGGTCGTCGTTCATCGTGGTCCGTGGCAGGTGCGGAGCGAAGGTGCAGGCGGATGTTGGCCTGCGGGCCTAACCAAAGGTTGAGCTCTGGCCAGGAGATGCTCGTGCGACATGCAAATGGATCGATCGCGATCCCTTCGAAAGAGATCCACGAGCTAGTTGCGACGTAGGCGTACGTGATTCGCGGAACAATCGAGCAGGTCTTACTCATCGCTTGGACGGTGATCTTGAAAACGTGACGCGCCTAGCTGTTGAGGAGGAATTCGCGCGGTCTACTTAGCAGGCAGCCACAGACTGTGGTGTGTAAGTACACGGTTGCTCTTGGCTGACTCACCGGACAATGTTTTATTTGTAAATAGGTGGAAGCACGATAGAGATCGTTTAAACAGTCATTCCAACATCTATACAGCACAAGTGGTTCGATCGACTTCCGGGTTGGATCATTTCTCCTGCTGCGAGATTTGCAATTACGATATAGGGAAAGTTCGCGATTATCTGGTGTAATAGCGTGTAACATAACACTCAAAACTGTATAATACTCAGTTTCTTGTCGTAGGTAAGGGAAACTCGGATCGGAGGACCGGCATTTCTTCGGTCTCGAATTTCTTTTTTTTCTCTTAATTATGATGTATTTCGCGTTAACCCTATTGAGGATTTTCACAATTTTCATATTAGCTTTGTCGTTTCTCTTTTAATTTATGGATGCTTATTACGTGAACGTTTCCTGTTTTACGTGTCTTTTATCAGCATTGTGTAAACGAAGCTTTCTGAATTTTAATAAGTTCCTTAAACGTCAGAACGATTACCTTTTATTATCTAATTATGTATGTCGATGATTCCTCTAACACCCGTTTCGTTGATCAATCAACTCTATAGTCGAAGCATATGTTCAATACAATTTTTCGTTGATTAAATTTACCATGATAAGAAAATACCAACTTAAATCCTATAAACTTCGAAGAACTTTATACGCGAAAATTCGCGATGCATTTCGTTGGATCTCGGCTTTAGCGAGTAAAGCAAGCAAAGTAAACGAAGTTCAGGAATCGTGTTAAGAAGCTTCGTCAAACCCGTGTTTGAAATCCGAGTTGGTTTGCTCTCGACGTTGGGAAATCAGCTTGGCTTTTCTATTTTCCAGCGCGGTTTCGCACGCTTTCGGTTTCGAGAATGCGTTTGAAGGCAATGGCACGATCCGCGAAACCTAAAATTTTCCGCGTCGGTGATTAAGATTCAGCGACGGTTTGGAAACTAATCGGGACTGGAAATTAAAAGAGGCGGTGGCGTAATGATGGCCATTTGCTAGGAGGGAATGTGGGTCGGCGGAAGGAAAAAATTGAGGACGATCACGAGGTTTATGAAATCATGAAAGAGTTTTCTGCGAGTGACGTCACCGCGGAAACAATTACCGAACCGTCTAGGCAAACTTCGTCTTCGGGAATCGTAATGACGAGAATTACGCGAACGTTTTCGATCCTTGTACGGTCGCGTTTGCAAAACTGCATTGCAAGAGTTTCCGAGTATCGACCATATCGACCAACGGGGATACCGGTTAACGCATTTTCAGCACGTTCGTCTAATCATCTTGCGTATACCGAATCGCGTTCGAGAAAAATCTACGAATTGCTCGTAAACAAGTTTACGCGTCGATCATTCGCGATTCTCGCATTCCTCGTGTTTACCGCGAGACTTAACGCTCTCGACGTTTCAATCTCGTATTTAATCGCCCCGCCGTGATTGCTTGCAGATCGAGGAGAGAAGCAAAAATGGGGTACGGCACGGAAATGGACAGCTGTGGCCGGTGTATGAAGTATACCTTGTTCTTCGTGAACTTCATCATTTTCGTGAGTATTCGAGCAACCGAGTACAGGTAGCTCTCCTACAGCACGGCATCCTATAACACGATTCATAATTTGCGGGAACCCTCCTACAACACGGTTTCGCTCTAACATAGAACGATAATAAGATAAGAAAATTGCAAAAACTTTTGTACAACACTGTACTTCTACATGTGCAGTGACGACGAAGAAATTTATTAAATTAAAGTTGCGTTAAATTAAAATAATATTTTTGTTCTTTTTTTGTTTCTGTGTTGTACATACCTTTATATTTTTAATAAAAATTAAGTTGTTTATGTAGAATTAATCTTTTGCACTCGAGAGGTGCCTCTCAGTCGCCATTTAATCAGATTCTAAAGATGGATGTTAATTAATATATCAAATTTACAATTGCCCGATGCGTGGAATATCGAAGCAAAATAATTTTAATTTAAATAATTTTATTTAATTTTAATTTGCATACGACTTCTGATTTGCCGTTTTAAAAATATCGTCGACTTTATGGCAGAAAGTCTTCGAATTACTATTTTTCTCTAACCCCTCTTTTTGTACTGGCTCTAGATCTCATATAACACGGTTTCACATAACACGGCTTTTTCTAGGAACCTATCTATCGTGTTGTAAGAGGGTTACCTGTACAGGTAGCCCTCCTACAGCACGGCATCCTATAACACGGTTTCACTGTAATACGATTCATAAATTGTGGGAACCCTCCTACAACACGGCATCCTGTAACAGGGTTTCGTTCTAACACGATAAGAAAATTGCAAAAACCTTTAATTATTATTTAAATTAAAATAATATTTTTGTTTTTTCTTGTTTTGTGTTCTACATACATTTATATCTTTAACCCTTTGCACTCGAGAGGTGATCTTCAGTCACCATTTCATAAAATTTGGGCGATTGATATTAATTAATATATCAAATTTAATGTAACGTAACAGTGTGCGAGGTATCGAAATCAAATAATTCTACAATTCTATTATTATACAATTCTTTATTTACTGCTCAGAAAAGTATCGTCAATTTTTTAGTAGAGAATCTTTGAATTTCTACTCTCCTCTAGCCAAAATGTCGTCGAGTGCAAAGGGTTAATAAAAATTAAGTTGTTTATCTAGAACTGAAAAAAAAATTTGTTTTTATTAAATTTTCGAAAAGTAATCCACCTTTTTCTACTGGCTCTGGGTCTCATACAATAGGGTTTCACACAACACGGTATTTTCTAGGAACCCATCTATCGTGTTATAGGAGGGTTACCTGTACACCGAAGACTCCTTTTGCTTTGGTACCTTTTTGCTCGGTACCCTTTCGCACGATTCGTTTTCCCATGGACACTTTTCTAACGTGATCTTCTTCAGTCGCGCGACTTTTTAAACACGTTTCGCGACCTTTTACATGGCGCAGCGCTGTGTAAAAAGAGTCCCAGGTGTGCGGCCAACCCTCTTATAACACGGTACTTCGAGGTACCGTAAAAACACGTTTGCGATGTAACACGGATTGCATTCTCCTAATTTCAATTAGTATAACACGACGACTGCCATGCAAGCTTTACACCGTGTTTCCAAGGGGTGGCAAAAAGTACTCATTACAGCACACCGTGCTATTCAATTTGTATGCTACATTAAAGTAACCTTAATTACAATCTGGAATTGCTGAACAGTGACCTGGTTATTTCGCAATATGGTCTAGTTACCTATATTCCAAATTTTTTAGTCGATGATTTATTTCAATGGTTCTGAACAATTATGACACTTTGGGGAACGAAGAGCATCAAGGTCCCACTGTGGAACAAAGTTCGGTCACGAGTGAACGTGTTAATATCTCGCTTAACGCAGTCTAGGTGCAACGCGAATCGAATTAACCGTGTTATAAACGAGTTAACGCTGTACTGTGTATAAATTTCGGATTAAAATGTTTCTACTCGAGGTAACACGGTGGAATTAAATTTTTCAGATCGGCGGAGTGATTATAGTCGGACTGGCAACGTGGGCCCTGTTGGATAAGGTACCATGGATAGGCGAATTAGTAGGGAACGATTTGCTAACAGGCGCCGTTTACGTTCTACTAGCCGGTGGGATCATCGTCGCATTAGTAGCGTTCTTCGGTTGCGTCGGTGCATCCCGAGAAGTCAAATGCATGCTTCTCACGGTAAATCTTGTTACTCGACACTATGTTTGCCGCTAGCAGAGGACCTACCGTCTGAATTACATAACGGAGGCAAAAAATTGATTCCAGTACTTCATCATCCTGTTCCTCCTGTTCGTGACCATGTTAATTGGCGGAGTGCTCGCATACGTGTTCCGTGAAAAACTAGTGAGCACGCTTGAGAGGGAAATGTCGAGTTCGATGAGAGTTTACGATACCCGTAAAGTAGTCAAAGAGGCCTGGGACACGACGCAGTCGACGGTAAGCACGAGACAAGGAACACTCTCGATTCGCGACAAATCTCGCACGGATAATTATTTCGAGCACCGTGGAGGTTGCTACGTCTGAGTAATATATTTCTCACTTTTTGCTCACCGATGATTTTAGCTCCATTGCTGTGGCGTAAACGGCTGGAGGGATTGGGGAAATCTGGGGCTCAATGTGCCGGAGAGCTGCTGTCGCGAGATCCAACCTGGCCAGGTAAAGATTAATTTCCTTAACGAGCTCGTTCTCGGAGACGAAATAGCCGTCGGCGAATCCGTGCATATGTAATTGCAGTAATTAGTGATTTACGCGTGGCACTCGTCGCGCACGAGTCGTCGTTATACGAGGTCTAGGCGTTATTACCTCGATGAGATTCAATGATATTTCGAGAACCGAGAGGAAAAATACGAATCTGTCTGGAGTTCGAGTATAATTGCTTTCAATTTGTGTCTACTTGCATAATTCATGAGCGAATGTTTTAGCAAACAACGGTGTTCACGCTCCAGATTTTTGTCGCGTAAATCTACCACATCATCTTGGGACTCGCGTCATCTTCCTGCTGAAACATTTTTATTCTTATCTTTGTTCGAATCGTTGTTGAAAAGAGAAACAACCGAGAGAGAATACCAACAGCCGATTTAGCAGATATCTACCACGGTATCGACCAACGGTAACGCGAGGACTTCGAGTCTCGATCCGTAACATTTGCGATTCGGGATGGGCTGTTAGGAAAGCCCGATAGAACGGTTCTGCACGGAATTTCGAAACGACCACGACCTATCGATTACATTCAGAAAAGCATCCATTCCGTGGTAATCCGTTAATCGGGCCTCGAGCCTTCGCGTCTCACGCTTTCACCCGGTTCGATCGACTTTCTCAAGCCGAATTGTTTCTCATGGCGACTCGATCGATCTTCTGTTACAGCGATTCAACTGCAACACTGGACCAGACAGGGTAAACTCCGCGAATACCTATCTCGCCGGTTGCATCAATGGAACGCAGATTTACCTGCAGAAGCACGCGTCAACCATGGGTGGCGCCGGTATTGCACTCGCGTGCCTGATGGTAGGACTTTCTCCGTTTCATTTGCATTTTAATCGACTCCGACGTCGGCGAAAATCCATTAACAAATGTCTTTCCGTCGAGCATTGCCAATTCTTGCGACGAGGAGGAAAAAAGGGAACGCTTTTCCTTTTCGCTCGCTTTCGACTGTTGCGATAATACCCTGGGTTAACGTAACGTTTTAGAATTCCTATTAAACTATTTTAGAACCCGGTTTTCGAAATACGCTGAAATAGCTAGAGAATGTCGGAGAAACTTCGATGCCTGGATTTTTCGTTTTCCCTCGTTTTCGTACACTGTTTTCTAATGTCGTAATTAATATTTCTTCGCAGTTCCTCGGCTTGATATTCTCGTGCGTTCTCTTCAAGATGATAGAATGACGAGAGAGCAGAGTGCTTTAAAAGACAGCTTCGTTCTTCGTGTCAGGCTAACGAAGAGGAAGAAGTGGATGTCAGCCGTCCTCGAGCGACTCATGAATTCATAATCAACGTCATCGTCATTGAGTGTACCTAAGCTGAAGTACGAGAATCAAAATGCATCTTCACGCGCATCTTTCCAATGTACAGTTCTCACCGTTTTTTCCCTTTATCCTTTACTTTCTTCTGTTTTCTTCGTTACATTTAGCATTATACTCGATGTACCTTTGTTTTACGGTTGCTCTTTTATAATTTATAGGAATACGTGCGTATTCTCGTTTTATACATAGTGTACTGTATACGTGTAATTTATATGGTGACACACTATGTGCCTCGTACGCGTAATAAATATGAAACGTGTATAAACGTCCATAAAAACTCGGCCGCATTTCAATTATTTCATTGCTATTCTCGAAGCGAATCTACGAAATATGCGTGTTTTCTAAAACGACCGTTCACGAGGCATCATATACGAATAATTCCGTTGGAGTGACGAGAGGTTGCTCGAATTTCGCGTCGGATGACCGTGTGTCTTTCCCTGACAGATAACCAATCGCGTTCTTTAATTCGTTCAGCGAAATGCGCGTACGTCAGAATGTTTTCCCGTTGCGGATTCTATTCGGACGTCCTCCATACATTCCCCATAACCTGTCTATCCAACGGTGAAATAGACACGCGCGGGTAGGTTCATAGGGTGAAGGATTTGTCACGAGCTATTAACGACGAAGCAAACTTCGAGAGAAGACAAATATTTGAAATGTCAGGTGAGAGAATCGTTAGATATAGGAATGTACATCGGAACAAACGACTCTATGTTATGTTATAATACTACTTAAATAAAGATAGTTAATTTCACACGAAGAAGAAACTCGATGACCTTAATGTATCGCGACCTTGAAAATGTAACACAGCGATCGTCACATTTGCCCGGAGCAATTTTCTCATAGATTCGAATCAATTAGTGGATTTACTTCGTTACGCGCCTTGCGTATAGGGGTAAACGATGAAGGAAACGCGTTGCAAAATGGCGCTTATTAAAGGCGCAGGACTAACCATTCACGAGGCATAAAAGCACGCGATAGCTGCCTTGTTACTCGCCTTTTCTTCGCGACCGTTCGTGTTTTACTGAAAATAGGGGAAAAAAAGAGGGAAAAAAAGGAAAGTCGAGTAACGTGGCTACAATCTTCGGTAATGAGAGGGCGTACGTAGCTTTTGTTTCGGAAACAGCCAGTACGTTTGCGAACCTCCATCCGATACAAAGACACGATGGACCAATCCGAGCCGCATAGAGGCTACGCTCCGCGTCGATATTTCAGACGGTCATTGGTGGTACAGCGGAGGCAAGAAATTTCTGTTCGAAACGTTTCTTCTCTTCCGCTCGAGGAACGATCCTCTGTCCAATTCGAATAAATCGTGAAATTCCGGGAAAAAAATTCGAAAAAAAGAAATAAAATGAAGCAAAGGAAAAAAATTCGATGGAACTCATTAACGAAGTTATCAGAGCAGAGAGTGGACGGGGGAAAGAGAAGAAACGTGGTAGACACGCAGTGACGTGGAATGGCAAAGCGGTATTAAAATGGTAAACTAAACGGCTCATCGACCGTCGTTTTGCTCTAATCGAAGTTTATAACGTTTGAAAGTCTCTGCGTGTCCAATAACGGCTGCCTCCCACCGTATGTTTGCCCGCAGCTTATTCACCCCTTTATTGTCAGGCTGCAGGCCTCCTTGCATTAAAGCACGACGGGTTGCCGTAATCCAGGCGTCTCGCCAAAATAAACCTTCGTCGCATTCTATCGGCAGTCTTTTTATCTTCCGTTTAATTATCGAACAACGGTACAGTCCGTGACAGAGGCGGCGATCGTGATTTATACACGAGCTAATACCACGTTTATAAATATTTTCTCGCTCGCCTAGATATACGCGACGCAGGTATATCACGGTTACGGTTTTGAAACATTCACGAGGCCACACGTGCTGGGCGCGCAGGTTCTGCCAAATTTTCCACGGCCCCAGGGCAAGCCGTACAGTCGATGGAAAAATTTCCACCCGCCATAGACGTAGAGTACAATCCTGCCGAAGATTTCTCCGTTCGAATCGTTTCGAGTGTGTTTACCCCATCCGTCGGGTTTGATCAAATTTCCTCGGGTTCCCGACGCGTTCTATACCACGGGGTTCTAATTATTCCATCCCCAGCTGGTCGATGTGTGCGTCCGTAATTTTCCGCTCGTGTATCATCGTCGTTGCGCCACTCTTCGCGTCCTTCCTTCCCTTTCGGTTTATTCACCCCAGCGTGCGTCACCCTACGCGAGTCTTTGCGTCGAGGCGTGACTGGCTGCCATTCCAAAGGCGTTCGAACGACCCGTGCGTGCCGCGCAATTTTCTCTTTAACCATCTTTCGCTTATCGTTCTTCTCTTACTTCCTTCTATCGATCTTTCCAATCTGTTGCACCGATCGGTCAACAGCAGATTATTTCTCTATAAGGGTAAAAAACAAGACACCGCAAGCCTCGCCCTAGCTTTTCATCGACTCCCCATGCTAGTGCCTAAGTACAACGTGTACACTCTGGATGACTCATCGCCGAAAAATCAAACAGACTTGCCAGCGAGTTGGAATCACAAAGAACACGTAGGCCTGGCTCTACCTATATCCACGCGTTTCAACCACTCTAGCATATCCAGCCGCGCAGATTGGAACTTCTTCCGCGCGATTACCAGCTCGAGCAATCTGCGAGATCGCTCGCTTAACCGCGCCGAAAATCTAGCTCTCGTGCTCCAGCTTCCACCTCTTCCCCGTGCCACCATTTTTCCTTTTCCCCTTTTTTCCTAATCCAAAGTCGACTTTCACCGCGATCCGCACAGCCGCTGATTCGGCCCCCGAGGTAGCGGTGGTCGCGGCCCACATGCCACGGGATACGTTTTCACGCCGTTTTGCGATCGTGGATTGCCATTCTGGATGCGCCGACTGCCGTAAGTGTAAGCGCGTGTCGTAATCCCACGCACGCGTGCGTGCACGATGCCGGCTGTTCCCCGCGCCGAATAAGCCCATACGCCGTGAGCCATTCTCGCGCGTTGCCACAAAGGGTCCTCGGACAATGACGAATGAATCGCAACACACAGGGATAATGCTACTCGCCGATCTAGGTGTACCCACGTATATACGCCAGGCTACTTCCCTCCATTCTTTTCCCGCGTTTCTTGCGCGTCGTCCCACGTCGGGACAATTGAAAATCGTCCACGACGAGAGGAGCGATTGAAATCGAGACCGATGCCACTCGCCGGAGTCTCCGGATCTGCCACGTCCGTTGCATATTCGTTGCGTTGCGAAAATTCTGGCTGGAGGGGAGTACCGGTTGTTTTTGCGGGCAGCAAGGTGATCTTCGCGAGGACTGCCACTCGTTAAGACTCGTCGAGGATTCGAGTAGTCTCCTGGAACTGTTATTAGGAGCAGTTGCGGTTGTTAGGTAAGTCTGGAGGAGGGTCGAAGAGAAGGACGTCACCTTTCGTATTTTCGAGAGAATTCGATGCGAGTGTTTTAGTTTCAGGATTCGATAAGGTTTCAATTGGTACAGGTGTCTCGTTAGGATCTGCGCGAACAATTGCGCACAGTTAACCCTTTGCGCTCGAGAGGCGACTCTCAGTCGCCATTTAATCAGATCCTAGAGATCGTTATTAATTAATATCTCGAATTTAAAATTGCTCAACGACGCGTGGAATATCGAGGTAAATTCAGTCGTCATTTAATCAGATCCTAGAGATCGTTATTAATTAATATCTCGAATTTAAAATTGCTCCACGACGCGTGGAATATCGAGGTAAAATAATTCTACGTCTTACCGTTAATTTGTACTTCATATTTACCGTCTTGAAAATGTCGTCGATTTTATGGCAGGAAGACTTAGAATTACTATATTTCTGTAACGAAAAGATCGCCGAGTGCAAAGGGTCAACAGGGTTAATGTTGTTAGTTCCCTAACTCCGAAGAGAGTCGGAGAGATGTCTCCGAAATTAGCGTAGAAACGACAGCGTCAATGTGGCAGAACGCGAAGTATAAAGACGGAGTCTACCTCCGAGGGGATTTGGTTGAAGTATTTTAGATTTTCGGCAGTTTTTAATTGGCAGAGATACAGACGTACGATTCTTGGGACGAGATTATTTGAACGAAGACATACTTCGATAAGGGGTCCATTTTCAAACATGGTTTGTCAGGAAATGAATCTTTACCATTGATCAAATGTATCCGATATTGCTACGTAGCGAGGATTTTTTGGACTATCTCCTGACGTATAAACTTCTCCTAGCTTGAACACAGTGACCAAGCGTGTGTCAGTGTGACTATTCGAGGGTAAGTGGAAAAGATAATATCGAGAGCAACGAGTTGTTAATTCTTTGTGAAAAGGTCGAAGGGCTGCGATCTAGTCTGGGCAAGGAGACGTCGAAGAACAGAGACGTGGTCCATGGCGTATTTTCGAGGGAATTTGATCGAAGCGTTTTAGAATTCAGGCAGGTTTTAATTGGTCCCGGCGTAACGCGTCTCGCTGGGACGAGACATTTGCATGTCTGAGTGGGTTAAAAATTGGATTTCCTACGGCGCCTGGTCCCTTCGTCGTTTCCGTTCGCTCTTTTTCTCTTTATTGACATACATTCCGGCCTATGCTGACTCGGTGGTCTTACCCGGCCGAGGCAGCGACGAGGGTGAAAGGGCGGGCACACCGGGTGCAGGGATACAGGGCGAATAGCGGAGAGATATCTCTACGTATTGATTTCGTCTCGAGCGTTAAATCCGAATAGGCCGGAAACGGGGGAGTCGTCCAGGTGAAACCGAGAACTCCGCTACCACTTCAGCCGGAGCTCGGTTGCAAATTAAATTGTACTCGAACCCGGGAAGGCAACTGCGAGTAGGCCAATGCAATTGGCCTCAGACCGACCGACTATTATGCAAGCTAATGTCATCGCGCGTTTGCGACACGTAAGCATTGTAGGCGACACGACATTTTGCTGAACGCACGATACCAATAATAGGAACTCGTGCATCCTCTGCTGAGCTTATTAAGACACAGGGAGCGACAGCCGATTCGAGTCGCGCACGTTCATCCGAGTTTCGGGGGGAATTGTTGCAAATTAAACGGAAGTCGTCGCGATAGCGAGGGGGAAAGAGAGAAACCGGCGGGTGGATCGAATTAAACGGTGAAACTTAAATTACGTTAGCGACGATCATACTTAATTCACCGTGAGCGTGAACGGTTTTGGACACGCTTTATTTGGCGTGTCAATTAATCAGCCGAGCCACGGGAAGCGTTTTTGCCCGCGCTCTTGGCAAATATTTGCGTTTCACCGTTACTCATCGCAAAAAATACAACGGCGCTAATTTAATCGGTCGAAACTGTGCGCGGTACTGCATCCGCGCCATTCCGCGCTGCGCCGCGCCGTGCCGCGCCGCGTAGGCCCGGGCCAATGGCGGTGCATTCTTCTTTCGAAGCTGCAAATCTCGCGGGTCGGAAAGTGGAGCAGCGGAACGAGGCGGCGCACGCGAGTTCTAACCTCCTCCTGGCCTCCTCCTGGCCTCCTCCTGGCCTCCTCTTGGCCTCCTCCTGGCCTCCTACTGGCTTCTTCCTAGCCCCTTTCCGATCTTCTGCGTCTCTTCTGATTTCTTTCTGCCCTTCTCGTGGCCTCCTCACGAGCTCCTCACGAGCTCCTCCTGGTTTTCTCACAGCCTTCTCACGACTCAGTCTCTCGGTCTTCTCGTGGTCCTCTCCTGTCCCTCTTCCGCTTAGGAATGGAATTAAATAGGAACGGGAAGTAATAACGAAAAGAATCTGGAAGACTCTGCGCCCGTGTACGTGATCTCTCCGGCTGCACTTGTTCGTTACAGGATAGGCGAAATGAAAAGGACGTTGAAAGGGTCGGTCGGTGAATGAAACTAGAATGTATATACATTATACGTACTAGATCTAGAGTGATTATACGGAGCAAGTGGAACAGACCCTCGATGGAAGAGAAACGCGAAGCGCGTTTTAATTTCGTCGGGATTTCGTGTGTTTTGGAGCAAGCAGCAGCAGCACGACCCTTGTGTTCCGTTGGCAACTGCGAGCCCCGAAGTCTAGTCCCGGTATTTTCGCGTAAAGATCGGCTGAACTGGCGCCGGTGCTCGGTTCGCGAAGATAACGAAGGAGACGAGGGAAAAATAGCGTAGAAAGGAGGCTGGTGCATTAAGAAGCTGCATTTAAGCTCCTCCTCGTTGTCAACGAACCGATCCGGACAGCAACCTTCCTCGTTGTTTCCGTGCACAAAACTTTCCACGGACACGGAACGCGCCATTGTCTCGATTCTAGCAAGGTTTACGCTCTGTCCGAACTCTACCGTACAGTTTACATTGTTTCCCGAGCAACGGGATCCCGAAAAAATGCCCCTTTTCAATTTATGTTCGCCAAGGGTTGAACGCGGGATCCGGCTACCGCGTGATTTATCTCGGATAGAACGAGGATCCACGCGAGCGCAACCTCGCGAGATCCATTTATCGATTCGACGACCGCGAGTGTGCACGGTTCGCGGAGTGTTCGTTCACGCACCAGGCGAGGTTACCGCGGGGATAAAAAGGCAAAGGAAAAGGGCGGATCGTTTTATAAGTGATTACCCGATGGACGATAGATAGGAAGGGCGGCCGAGAGGAAAACGTATTCGCGTGGTTTCGCTATCCCGATGCCGTAATCGTGCCCGGCGCCCACAAGAAAGTTATTAAAGTTCAACGCACGTGCTCGGTCTTCGAAAAAGGGAACACCGCGAGTAATCGTTCGCTTCGATAAAACGACCTGCCCCCGTAGCTTCTCCAACCCGTATATCCGAGATATCGCGTTGCATCACGACCGAAGATCTAGGCGTCAAACAGATCAAAACCATGATTCCCCTGTATTCTGAATTCACGAAATGCGAAGATTTTTCCGAAAGCTGCAAGGATGGCTGGATTATCGAAGTCCAAGATGTCTACTGTAGCACCACCCCAATTATCCAGCTACTCCCTCCTACTCGCAATTTCCATTTTACTTTTCGACCTATCGTCTCTTTCCTCGGCTTTCGTCATTTCGCTAGGTACTAAAGGGCTACATCCGTTTACGCGAAACGAATAATCGAAATCGAGGAAATTAATTTCCCGAAAGCAAGGTTGGAGGTTTGATACGGTGGGCAAAGTCGGAGCGAGTCAGGTGTGTCCCGCGTGTCGATGGGTGAAGACCGTTCGACCAAAGGCCATCATGTGAATGGAACCTTAGGTTCCATGGCAGCACCTGGTTGTGAACGCGCCAGCCGGAGCCGGGCAGACGGTCTGTTCTGTCAATCCCCACCATCGTCACAGCTACCGGGCTCCTCCACTGCACCACCACCACCACCACCGCCGCCGCCTCCTGCACCGTCGCCAACCACCACCACCACCGCCACCACCACCAGCATCGTCGGCCACTACCATGGAAACCGACGAATGCGCATTCTGACTTCAGTTCAGCCGACGGTTTCAACCTGCCAAGTCGTGCAGGTGTTGGCAAACGGTTGTTGCCATCCACGACCGACTTCGTCCGCGGATATTCCCCCGGGGAAACGAGTTCGCGAGAGTACGAGGATTCGTGGAGCGCGAGGAACGCCGGGGATCGTGCTGCCTCACCCCTTTTTGCACCGGATCGCGGTATCACGGGTGCCACGGCGGGAAAACGGGCGTGTGTTAAAAAGCCGTGTTGCCGTAGAAGGGCTGCGATTTATGGAACCACCCCATGGATAGTAACATGTCGACTGCCGCCTTCATGCACCGGTATGGGAAACTCTTAGATCGATAAGTAGTCGCGTCCCATGCGGAGGCCCGAGGAGCCTTTCGCGTGTGGCTAGCCGGTACTCGTCGTTCGGCCAATCGCACCACTCGACGACGACGCGAGTCACCGGGCCCCGAAAAATTTTCCACCAAAATGTTCGCCGTTCGATCGATCGGTTTGTTGCTATGCAGCGGGGGACTGGCGGCGATACACGCACGGTTCGTCAAAGTGTCCTCGAGGAACGCGTGCGGCAAGGGAGCCGGCATCGCGTCCTATCAGTCGAGGCTGCGTCGTCGATTTTACTCTCTTTTTCTCCGATCTTCCAACCTCACGGCGCGACCAACAAACGCGCCCACTTCCTCTCCGCGGCCCGCCAATCGATTTCGCGCAGCTTTCGAAAATTCCTCCATCCGGGATCCAGCTCCGTCCTCTCGCATCGCTCGCGAATAGCTCAAATTTTCCCTGCTCTCGCACCTACGCGTACTTACGCGATCCTACGCGTGTGCGTTCGTCCGTGCTCGCGTCTAGGGTGTAGCACACGGCGAGGGGTGGGGAGTGGAAAAAAGGAAACGCGATGGCATTTTCATCGAGCGATCGGTGTTTAGCACTGGGCGTTGCGGCCGCCACTCGCGGCGCGATCGAATCTCTGGATTTTCCAGCGACGAGGAAATTACCGGCTCGTTTTGCGTCGCGCGTGTGATCGATCAGCCTCTCTCCATTGCGAACATCCGATAGCTTTACTTATTAGTGCTCGTGGAAGCACTCGTAGCCGTGAGATGTGTTGCCACAGTGCCGCGAGTGGCACCGAAACAATCGCCCTTTATTACGTTTCCCTGTTTCGCGGTTATCGCTTCCATTTCAACCGCGATCCCGGCACGCTCCCAATCGATTCATCGCGCAGCCCGACGACGTTCCAGCTTGCCGATAATCCCACCGAATTCCTGTTCCGCCAGTTTCCAAATGCCACTTTCGAAATAGCCTATTTCTCCGGAGAGGTAGACGGAGAGACAACGATGCTCGCGTGTTTCCATGGCATTCTATTAACCTGCATTTTCACGAGCGCGTCACCTGTTCGGTTTCCCCCTGAACGACACGATGTCGAATCGGACCAGCCCGCTTTCCTTGAACCTGCGGATACCGCAGCCATTGACCGAGGCTTATTCCTCCGCTCCGTAACGAAAGGACCTAAGTGCGGTCATTCTCTATTCCTCCTCTCTCTCTCTCTCTCTCTTTCTCTCTCTCGCTCTCTCTCCCTCTCTCGCCCCCTCTACGCACCTCTCGCTCCCTCTCTCCGACGCCCTGTCTTTGTCCCCCTCTGTCTCTTGCTCTCTCCTGTGCTCGTCGTTAGCTATCTTCACCGCTGGTGTCCCTGCCTCATTTGAATATCGGAATGACGCACTCGATTTATCGAAGGCCGCGAAAAATGATTACGAATACAGCCGGCAGGACACGTATTTCTGGTTTATCGGAACCCGCATTGCACGTCGGCCAATTCGCCAACGATCGAGTTTGCTTCGTTTCTGTATTTTGGCAGGCGAGCACGCGCGAATTTCAGTCGAAATTGTTAGAGCATGAACGCGTACTTTCGCTATGTCGGAGTTTCTTTGGAATTTGAAAATCTTATTTCGCGTGTGCGGATACAGGACGATACATTTTCTAAATTTTTCTCTTGGACATTACTGAAAAATATTTTTCTATTGTTCCTTTTGTTGCTTTTAAAATTAAGATTCTGGATTAGAGTGGTGAAGAATGATATATTTGATTTCTTTACATCGTGTGTTAATTTGGTTATTGAAATATAGACAGTTTTAATTCCAAACCCGTCTTTTAAAATTGGAAACTCCTGTTCTACATACAATGGCACAGAGTTTTACTTCTATTCCCTTTCGAAAAATGAAGACTCGGGTTGTTCCGAGCTCCTTACAAATTACCGCATGAAATTTTTTCTTATCTCGAGTTCCCTTGGAATTTAAAAACTCTGTTCCATATGCAATGGCATAGAATACCAGATTTTACTTCCCTTCTTTGTTCGGAAAATGAACACTGCTACCATTCTGAGCCTTCCCAGAAATTACAGCAAGAAATTTTTTGTTCTATCTCGAGTTCCTTTCGAGATTTAAAACCGTGTTCCACATATAATAACACAGAGGCACTACCTTTTACTTCCTTTCTCTATTTCGTAAAACGAACACTCGTGATATACCGAATTCTTCCAAAAATAATCGCGAGGATTTATTCTCATACCCCGATTTTCGCTTAAATTTGAAAAATCCTATTTTATACCCGATAACATAGAGTATCGCTAAAAAGTTTTAAAAGCTACCTATTATTCTAACAACACAAAGCACCATATTTAATTTCCTTCCTCTATTTCGAAAAACGAATACACGAGATATACTGAATTTTTGCAAAAGAAAATCACGAAAGAATTTTCTTTCTTATCCCAAGTCCAGATTAAAATTAAAAAAACCCTATGCTACACGCGAAATTAACTGCGTCGTGAAATAAACGCTAAAAAGTCCCTATCCCGACTTCCTGCCAAATTTAAATACCCTATTCCACATATGATCAAACTTGAATACCCACGATATTCCAAATTAACACGTTCACTGCCACAATGAAACGTTCATTACTCCCAGGATACAACGAATTATAAAACAATACAATGAAACAAAGGAGAAAAAAAAAAGAGAGAAACAGCGCACTCTTCTCCATCTACTAGCATCGTTAAAATTTATCAAATAATGCTCGTAACGAAACAAATATCGTGAATATGAAAATTCAGTACCGTCTGAAAAAGTTTCCCCTAACCCGGACTTCCTTTTAAACTTTAAAAAACCCATTGCACGTACACGTATACACATAGGTTAGGTATATACGACACAGAGAGCACTACTGGCGGAAATACATAATTCGAGCGAGGCGGATGAATATTCATATCGGAGATAGGATCTTCCCCCGTGCGATAAACAACAAAATCCATACACGAACGCCCGTAGCAAGGCAGCGCAACGATCGAATGTAACACGTAACACGGAATCGCGACTGGCCGAGAGACGAACGCAGAAACCCGTGGACTGAACTTCCGAGCGGTAAGGGAACACGCCCTCTTAAGCCGCACGCCGCCTATCGCGGCCGCATACCGGCGTTGCCCATGGCGAGACGCCGAAACGCGAAGAAGGCACCGTGAAAGGGCGCGGATTATATAACGAGCACATAAGAGACATCGAGAACGAGGAGTAGACGGGACGGTTTGCCGGCAGCAACGGAGGAATATTTTATCAATAGAACAGGCGCGCATGAAACGCTGCACGGTTCCGGCCTGCGAGCAGCCGCTTAGTCATTCCGCATTAATTCCAGCCGCGTTACCCTCGTATCTCTGATCCCTCCACGGCTTATCCAAAGTGCATCCCCGTGTTGGAAACGGCCCTACGCTGCCCTGTCGCGTCTCGTGTCCCCGCTGCGCCAAGGCGAAACTCGCAATCGATACATCTGCCAGGAGTCGCGACGCAGTGTACCTAGTCGTCCAACATCCGATTGCTATCCCGACTAGCGAGTTAAAAATCCAGATAACCTTCTGTGATCATTGTTGCGTCGCGTTGCTGGGGAATGATCGTGATCGAGATCAAGATCGAGATTCCGAGAGTCGCAGGAAATGGGATAAGTAAATGACAGCGGGTTCTAGGGATTTTAGTGTTTCCGGGGTAAACAGTGGTGTGACTTGGTCGAAGAGTGGTTACGAATAGAATTTAATCGATCATTGCCGAGTTGCTGGGGAACGATCTGGGTCGAGATCGAGATCCCGAGAGTCGCAGGGTATGGGGTAAATAAATGGCAGCGGGTTCTAGGGATTTTAGTGTTTTCGAAGTAAACAGTGGTGTGACTTGGTCGAAGAGTGGTTACGAATAGAATTTGATCGATCATTGCCGAGTTGCTGGGGAACGATCTGGGTCGAGATCGAGATCCTGAGATCCTGAGTGTCGCAGAGAATGGGATGAATAAATGACAGCGGGTTTTAGGGATTTTAGTGCTTTCGAGGTATACAGTGGTGTGACTTGATGGAAGAGTGGTTACGAATAGAATTTGATCGATCATTGCCGAGTTGCTGGGGAACGATCTGGGTCCAGATCGAGATCCCAAGAGTCGCAGGGAATGGGGTAAATAAATGACAGCGGGTTCTAGGTATTTTAGTGTTTTCGAAGTAAACAGTGGTGTGACTTGGTCGAAAAGTGATTACGAATAGAATTTGACCGATCGTTGCTAAATTGTTGGGGAACGATCGGGGTCAAGATCGAGATGCTGAGAGTCGTAAGGAATGGTATGAGTAAATGACAGCGGGTTACTAGGGATTTTAGTGTTTCCTTGGTAAAAAGTGACTTGGTAGAGGTATGCTTCTTACGAATAGAAGTTGATTTGATTATTTTTGGAATCGGTATATCTATGCGAGTATACTAAGAAGAGGTATCTCTTCTTCCTCAGCGTTTCTCGTGTCAAGTAACTGTTAAGAAACGAAGCAATCATTTGCAAACTTTTGTCAATTTTTCGAAAGAGAAATTATACACCTACAAATATTTCGATTTTTATCTTTTCTATCTTTTCTGATAAATGCAGTGAAAAAAAGATGGACGTTCACCATATAAAAATAAGGAATTTTTCCATACCCAAACACGATACCACGTTGATCCGTCTTTGCATATTCGCGCTATCATGTTCCACGCGTGCAGGTGAAATCTGTAGAATAGAGAAGATATAAACCTACGTTACTAAGAAAGCGACACTTTACATATGCACGTGCGTGCGTAAAATTTGCATAAATCTGGAGGAATACGAAAAATCGTACGAGATACGATAGCAAGTGGTCGCACGCCGTATATTCGATCGACAAAGTATTTCTCGAGCTTGTTCCCGATATCGAATCGGTGTTTTCGAACACATGTACACGCGTGTACTCTTGTGTATGCGTTTGTTGTTTTATATCTTCTTCTGCTTGTTCTTCCTCCTC